TTTCGACAATTAATGTCTCTTCAGTGATGTTAGGAATCAAAACGGTTATTAGAAGGCCACATAATTTACCTCAAATTAGGATAGGGTCTTAAATTTTGGGGAGTCATAATAGGATGAAAGGATCATATAAACCCGAAGGCAAATATAATACAAGCCCAAACGAAAAAATATAAACAAGTCTAAATTGAAAACAACGTTCCGAAACCTATGATTGTGTTGGATAAAAACCGCAATTTTTATACGTGTGCATGCAAAACAAATTTCTTGTTAGAGGGGTATAAATTCAGCACAAATAACATTTTCCAAACGACCAAAAAAGTGAAAAAGTATATTTTAACAAAACGCATTATATATATATATATATTGATACCTGATCTGACCCATCTTGTACTTGGCATTTTTTATACTCGTTGTCGCTTCCAGATTTATCGGTATCGTCTTTACCTGAAACAATATCACAGCAGGTCAAAACAGGATGTATCAGAACGCAAATTAAAAGCAAACAAACAAAGCACTTGTTACAACAATTTACACATTGCTCTCAGTGTAATGGAAATATGCATGTTTTAGGTGCACGTATCATATGCTGATGTCTATGTAGCTTCAATCATTATTCAAATTTTCACATTTTAATTCAAAAGGGTCAAAATTGAAAAGTTGACGTAAACTAGTGGAACAAATTATTAAAAAATCCTAAACATTTTAATAGTCTTAAGCATAATCTATTTAACTGAAAGGTTATTCAAATACTTCATGGTTTGGAAAATTGACTTCGAAGCCCTGACACCCATAACCAAAACTATGAATTAATTTGTATCAGAAAGGTATAAATACATAACTTCACTTCTAAAAGGATTTTGGATTTGGTTTGAAAAATATAAAAATTCCGCACAAAAATTTATATAAAACAAATGAATCGATTGTCCGTTTCCTATTTATGACTTTTATTTGGCCCCTGGCTTCTTGCGTTGTGTGTGTTACCAGGAACATATATATTGACATATTAGATATATTGTTCCCACGGGTGTTACCCGATTCGTTCGTTGTGGCCGTGTCTGTAGTGGCGTTTTAAATTGATTTCAATGAACGTAATCTTTGTATAACAGGTGGATTAATAAGTAAGGGATTTAGTTACCACACAGATCTTAAAAAAATACTAAATTTGGAAAATGTCGTTTATGCATGGAGTCCGTAAATTTAGACACGATCCATGTAAACTTTATATAGATCCTTTGAATAAACTTATTTTTTGTTTTGTAAGGTTGTTAATTTGGCACTGTAGTATATAAGATATTTCATAGCTACTAACATTGATTTTGTTTTTAATAAATTTAAACATAACTAAATATATATGGGAAGAAAGACAACTGTCTCCACTCAGTGCCAACTTGCATATCCCTTCTCACCATAACTTTCCCCCCCCCCCCTTCCGTTTCCACCAACTCGCATCTACTTAGCTACGGTTCCGCAGCTAGCATTAACTTTTGTCAGAAAAAAAATGCAGCGGACTATACAGCACATTGTTGAAGGCTGTACGGTTGCCTATAATTGCTTACATCCACTTCATTTGAACTCTGGTGGATAGTTAACTCATTGACAATCATACCACGTCTCCTTATTTTTATATAGCATCAATTTGATCCAACCGAAAATAAGCAGTTCAATCCCGCTGCAGCAAGAACTGCAGACCCGCCCTAACAAATAATATATGATATAGAATATACTAGTCACAGTGATACTAGTAACTGTTGGGCTAAATTTCAGACGAAGTGTATATAGATTATGGTGTTAGTTCTTTATAACCTTAGGTTATCGGATGGGGAACTTCTGTCGTAAAGTTGTCACATATTTGATATCATATTTTATAGACGTATAAAATTAACATGATGTGACTGCATGGTATGTTAAAATTGTCCTTCTTTACGACTGACAAAACATACCAGCTGATCTGCTAAGGATATTCATTAATTCATTGATTACAGTTTATTAATTTTCATCTTTTGTTATCTTATCGCAGGAACAAATTATCGTGGATAGAATTAGCAATTTAGAAAAAGAATTTTTAACACGTCCTGGCTAACAATTATATTTCTGACGCCGTGATTGGCAATAAAGTATTTATAAAAAAGAAGATGTGGTATGATTGCCAATGAGACAACTCTCCACAAGAGACCAAATGACACAGAAATTAACAACTATATGTCACCGTACGGCCTTCAACAATGAGCAAAGCCCATACCGCACAGTCAGCTATAAAAGGCCCCGAAATGACAATGTAAAACAATTCAAACCAGAAAACTAACGGCCTAATTTATGTACACAAAATGAACGAAAAACAAATATGTAGCACATAAACAAACGACAACCACTGAATTACAGTCTCCTGACTAGGGACAGGCACATACATACAGAATGTGGCGGGGTTAAACATGTTCGCGGGATCCCAACCCTCCCCCTAACCTGGGACAGTGGTGTAACAGTACAACATAAGAACGAACTATAAAATATTTGTTTGTTTGTTTTGTTTGTTTATACATATTATGCACCTTCTCTGTACAGGCCTGTATCTGCAATGTGTTATGAAAATCATGAAAGATGTTGAGTATCTTACTATTAGAATACCACGACGGGTAAGTTTGCCCGTACACAAAATCGATAAAAGACAAGTGAGACAACGCAAGCTGACCAATCATGACACCAATAATCAGAGTGAAACAATCTAGTAAGGGGACGACCATTTGATATTCTGTGGGGGGGGGGGGGGGCGGGTGGGACGGGCAGGAGGATTTCTTTTGGATGGGTTATTTATTTTTGTGGACCAAAAGGACAGATTATTTATTTTCTGCACTGTTGAAGCATGATTTTTCATTTTCATTAAAACAAGGGACAGATTATCTATTTTCACAATTATATTTATAATATAATATTTGAAAACATACAATTTTTAAATTCTTAAATAAATAACATAGTCAATTAAGTCAATCAGAATTAGTCATAATCCTCTGGAAGTTAATCTCTGAATTGCAAACTACATATATTGCATACGTACAAGGTATTAAAGCTGGGCTGTAACTAGCCTCTTTTAAAAGTTTTCAAACATTTTCGCCGAGCGGAGCGAGGCGAAAAAAAAATCAGCGAAGAGTCTGGGGTTCGTTGAAGGCCCCAAGAAGCTATAGAAAAAATGGCGCAAAATCATGCATTATGCGCGTTTCCCAGACCCTTTCTTAATCTGAAACGCAAGTTCTGTTTTAATTTTTTGACAATATTCTGGTTTCAAAGCAAAATATATAGATTCAGTGTAAGACTTTTAGTTTTTAGGGACAGCATCAAAAGACCAATATGTAGGAAAAAGCAAAAAATGTTTCAGTTTGCAGAAAAACCTTTTATACCTGTCAATTATGTTTTTTTTTCAAATTAAGTTAAGAGGAGGCTGATTATCATTGATATAACTATGTCAAGTCAGTTTTTATAACACATTTCAATTACAATTTGATGTAGTTTCTAACTGGGATACAATTTAAAGTAGTTTGTAATAGACAAAAGGTCCTTAAATATAATAAAACTCAAGTTTAAAACATAATTACTAAATTACAAATAGAATGCAACACTAAGAGAATAGTCATAAAGAAGGGCAATCAATGAACAAAAGACAAACCCGGGAACAGATAAAACACAAAACGACAAACATTATAGACAATCAACACTGAAAAATAAAAAATAAATGAGAAACATGGATCTCAAAAAACAGGGGCTACGTCAGAGGGTGAACAGAACTTGCTTCTTGCAAGACACTTGCCGTGAAAACAATTTGATATGAAGACAAGCTTTTGTTTTGAAATTTCCAAAATGAGGCATTTGCCTCAATGTAGTTACGGTCCTGTAATAAAAGTGAGGTAAATGTTCACGAGACAATATACCTCAAGTGAAATGAACCCATTTTCAAACATTTCAAATACATTAATATTTATATTATTAAAAGATTTGGGAAGTTTTTACCGAAAAAAATATGAAAAAAGACGAATTTTGGAAGAATCTGGTGCCATCTCATACTTCAGAATAGCATTTATAAAATGGCTTAAAAGATCTGCCAAGTTATTTTCAATACATTGTAAGTCAGGTTATTTATTTTCAAAATCCTCCTGCCCCCCCCCCCCCCCCCCCAAACCCCCCCCCCCCCCCCAGAATATCAAATGGTCGTCCCCTAACATACAAACACAATAATCTGACAAATAAAAAATAAACCCCATTATGTAAATGTTGCAGGAGGATTTTGGAAATTAATCTTCTGGCCTTATAAAAATTGATGAAAAAAATACCTAAAAACTAAACAGGATGAAAATGTATACATATGTATATATCAGACCTACAAATTGTATTAAATATTTGTGTACTAAGATCGAAAAACGGCCGGCCGTGACGGAAATAAATAAGCAGTGACCTAGCAATATAGAGGCAATTGAATATTCTCTCCCCTGACAAACCTTCCGAAATCAAATGGTCGTGATCTAGAAGAAGGAAGAAAAAACATTAGCATTCCGTAAAGTCCGTAAACTTTCATATGTTCATATAAACCCAAATCCCTAATTCATTTTCTTATCAAAATCATAAACATTCAAATAAACACTCACTAAATAAACAGGACATCTTCGAAATTCTTTTTTGAGATGGATTACAACCAGAAAGTATATATGACGTCATGTATTACGTAATTCATTAGAATAATTTGACGTCATCTAACCTTCTTCTTTCCTCTATATCTTCCTCCAATAGTTGGAGTACACCAACCTTACTGAATTAAGGTTGGTTAATCCTTATAAAAATTATTAAGTGAATACCTAACTATTTAAAAATAACATTATGTACAGTTAAATCCCTGAAAAGATACTAATAATAACCAAAGATTTACGTTTGAGTACATTGCTCTTAGAAAATTTATTTCTCGTCCTTAGTGAGATCTTAACCGGAAGCAAATTGTTTGGGTTTACAGTTATCTCCCTTGGAAAGTCCAAGAAGGAAGTTTTGGAACTTTTCAATGTTTCTTCAGTACATTCTACTGCAAAATGGTTATCCAGAACTTTGCGCATACAGAATATGATAATAATAATCAAGAATTGACAGTTTTAAGTCGTCATTCTTTTGACAAAAATGGACTAAAAATTGTTGGGGCTGTTTCAGTGGTTTTTGTTCAACCACTTGGTAAGACACATTGTGAAAAGCTAAATTATTCTTATATATATAAAAGTTCAGTTCTCCTTTCTACATCGTAACACTTCCTGATATTTTTAACAAACACCTAATTTATATGAATTGGATGTTATCAGTGTTCATCTATCTGTAATAACTGTATGATGTATCACTCTGCTCAGCTCTTCACAAAATCATTTTTTTTAATGCCAATAATACACCTTATCGCTATTTGTCTGCCATTACTGGACATCACAAAGGTTCCCTTAAAATTTTGACGACTGATAGAAAATATCTGACGCCACAATGGAAAAGTGATTGTTGTATGATGTCAAAAGTTCAAGAGGCGCAGATTCTCGGGTCAAGTGGTGCAGAATTCCAAATAGCATTAAAGGTCTATGGGCAGCAGGTAGCACATTGACAGTAAAACAAAATTAAATTATGGTTCATAACAACAAAAATTACGGATTTTACCTCGAAAATTGTTCTATGTGGGAGTGTAGTTCTTTCATCAGTAGGATAAGGGGGCAAAATCAGGAAATGGCTCCAGACTTGGAACTCAGACTTGGAACCCCTAAACTGATTACTACATATACCTGGTGACTTCTCTGAGAAAACAATATTCAGATGTAAAAAAGACTCTCCCCAGAGGAGAAGTTCCTTAAACAGTCAGAACTCCGACATAAATAAGTCTGATTTTGCTTTTTATTTAACTTGTAATGGACTTATTTGTATGTTTTATTGGTTCTCTCCCTTTGAGTTCATAAAGTCAATTAATGTAAAGCAAAAAATATTTGACCTGTATCCATGGTATCAAAATGTTGCAATTTATGTCTTCTTCAAATCTATAAAGTTACAAAAATAGGTTAACTTCAAGATCCATATGTAAAAATATAAAAAGTTCAAGCACCTACATTGTACACATGTACATGAAATTTAGACAGCATTGTAAGCCAATGCTTTGTCTTCTGAACTTCTGAAAAAAATATGAGTTGGTTCTAAAAAAAATGGAGGTAATGTTCATTCACTTTCTAATGCAACCACTGAAACTGACAAAAACAAAGATGCAATGAAAAACTGTTTAATCAGATCATTACTTCAAGAAAACTTAGGTCCTTGTAAATTCTCAGCAAAGTTTTATTGTCATAGGTGATGTCCTTTGACCACAAAGTGAAAAAAAAAGTGTTTTCATGCTATGTTATGAAGCATAGATTGACTTAAACAAGTCTGTCATTTTGTGACTTAGACAAGTCCAAAATTGTACACATTTTTGTTTCAAAATACATTGATTTGACTAGTTTAAGCCTGAAACGAAAAAAAAAGACTTGTTTTTGTCTGAGTTCTGACTGCTAAAGTACCACCTGTGATTAATTATAAAAGCAAGATTTATTATTATCCTTGTATCAGTTAATAGCAAAAGGTCCAACCCACAGTCATCAAGAATCTCCACAGCTTAAATTTCGCAGAGTGGAGATTATAACATGTATTACATATAAAATAAGGAAATGTGGTATATTGTATATGATTGCCAATTAAACAACTACATGTATCCAACAAATAATTAGGATATAAAGAATTATAGGACTGTATGGCTTCGTCAATGAGCAAAACTTGTGCTGTATTGCCACCTATGAAAGGCTCTGAAATGACCAATGTAAAGCAATTCAAACAAGAAAACTAATGGGCCGATTTATATACAAACAGTTAACAAAAAACAAATATGATATAGTCAGATATACAGCAACAAACGACAACCACTAAATTACAGGCTTCTGACTTTTGACAGGCACATACTACAGAATGTCAATGAGCCAGCGATGCAACAACACCAAACTATTCAAGTTCAGGATGGTTAGGTTTGTTAAATGTAGAATCGAGGTATAATATAGCCCCGCTTATCAGATAGTTCTGGTTTCAAGTTTGATGTATTAAAAACTTAAAATATAAATTGTTTATCATTGCAGATGGAAAGAATGAACAGTATGAGTGGCAGAATGAAGATAAAGTATCATCATCACTTTCTGTCATCACTTTGCCAGGATCTTTTACACAAACTGTAGATTGCAACAAACAAAGAAACCTTAACCATGATAATCAGAAAGGTTTCAATCATATTGAATACAGATCAGACTTTGTATCTAAGGAATCGCTTAGCCAAGAAAACAAAATTCCTGGTAGTACTGGAAACATTGATGATGAATTCACCAAAAATCATAATGTTAGTATCATTGATTTCTCCAAACAGAGGCTCGATCCTTCATTGCAATCTAGACAGTTTTCAGGGAATCCTGTTAATCAAAATCGAAACAATTTCAAACCATCATCTAAAACAGTGCCAAACATTTCCCAAACAAGATCTTTAAATCAATTAACCTCTGCTACAGTAAGAAGTGTTCATATACCAAATGTACCAACAAGTATACCCAAAACTGTTCCTATGGTGACTGCAGTTATTCAAGATAATATCCAGATTCCAGGGAAAATTCCTAAAACTGTTCAAATGGTGACTCCAGTTATTCAAGATAATATCCAGATTCCAAGGAAAATTCCAAAAACTGTTCAAATGGTTGTAGGTGAACAGCCAATAAATGGTGCAGAAGGTCAACATGTTCAGAAACAGAGTTCTCTGAATATACCAAAAGTTGTTGAAGCACCACATGAGAGGAGGATGTTGAAGGTAAAACCCAAATTCATGAGAATTAAATCTCTGGTTGTCACAAGGGATAAGAAACAAGATGTTTACTGCAAGCTTTGTCAACAGAAATTAGAGTCTTGTAATGACATTATGTTACATTCAGACCAACATAATCTTCATCTTGCTTGCTGTGTTTGTGAGGCAAAATTTGGATCCTATTGCAACATGAGGCGTCATTGTATCGGCCATGTTCAGAGTATTCTTTATAAGTGTTCTCTTTGTCACTGTGCATATAAACGAAAAGACAATCTAAATACTCACATAAAGAAACATTATACAACTGGTGTAAGTAGTTGGAGGTGTCAGGTTAGGAATTCTTACCATCGTTCCATTTCACAATTATCTAAAATAAATACTATTGCCAAAGTACCAAAACCACCCATCCCAAATTCATCAAGAATGCAGACTCAGACTCCATCATTGTCATCGTCTACAAGTTTGTCTTCTGATCAATTTCCTTATCCGTTAAATACCGCAGAGAAAACAATAAACAGTGGTTTTGAAGTCAGAAAAACTCCAGATTGTTCAATGTCAAACTCTTCAGAAAATCATATTGATTTAACCTCTGATGATGATCTTTTAGAAGTCGTAAATGTTAGGGCAGACAAGCCATCCTCTGAACTAGAAAATTCCGACCTAACAAATACGGTTTTTACAACAGAACCAAATACCTGTTCAGAAATAGAAGAAATGGAAAGTAATGCAAGTGAACTGTCTACAGAAAACCAGTCACACAAACCCAGCTCTAGCTCTTCAGATGCAGAAAATCTACAAGAAAAGGAAAAAATGGAACTTCCTAAACAAATAATGAACTATACTTGTAGCTCATGTAGTTTGAACTTTGAACAAATCGACCATCTGAAGCGTCACATTTTATCTTATCACTCGGAAGAAATTGATCCTTGTAATGACACACAAAATAAGGGAGATAATTCAAATATACTGGAATCCGACGTTAAAATGGAATCTTATGATACAAGTCAAGACTCACAGATCATAGATATTGGGAAACTAGGTGAATTTTCTCATCAGTTAGCAAAACAGTTAGTTGAAAATGTTCAGGACAATGTCATGCACATAGAAAATTCAAATATGGTTCATTATACTACCAATGAAAATAGTCCAAAAAGTTCTCAGAAGAACTCAATTTATCATTCAAACATGAGCATTTATACTCCTAATGAAAACAGTCCATCAAGTTCACAGACAACTTCAATCAATCATTCTGAAGGAAAATCACAGATGAATAACCGATCATTGAAAAAGGGCAGATCTGGCACTAGTTTAAGTTCTGTGACACCGATATGCAGGGTATGTGGCTTTATGTTTAATGACATACAGACAGCAGTTGACCACAAAATGAACCATCCTGCAGAGATACCAAGTATGTTTGGTTGTACAATATGTAACACAGACCTTAGTTCGCGAGAATGTTTACGTAGACACATTAGAAGCCATATGGGAGAAGAGCACCGTTGTACCTATTGTCATTCAAAATATAGTCGACTGGATAATTTATACACTCACATGAAAAATGCTCATGGATGGGTTAAACAAAACAGATATGATCGATTTGGAAATGGTTAATACTGCACAAAACAATGTCTGTGATACTTTTAGATTGCGGGATGTTGTCCCATTTTAATGTATACTGGTTTTAATCATGAGCTTTCTATATCTATAAGTTAAAATGTCAACTGATTGCAAGCGTGTGCAATTGCAACTACTGGCATGACTAGCTGACCACCATCCATCCCTTAACAATTTACGTTTTCATTATCTCAGCTGAAACTACCAAAACAGTTAAAATTTAAAACAGACTTAACAAATTCAATGTCATAAGATCATAAATAAAGCATATTTTTTTTTATACACTGTATCAGAGCACGAAAATGCATAGAAGTTTTATATAAAAAGTCCTCACTTATTTTGATCGGATGAAAAATCAACTATCTAGATAATGTATGAGATTCCTTGAAAAAATCCAATTATTTTCTGGTCAGGCAAAAAACTTAGCTGCAAGAGACAATTCTTGATTCTGAGTGGTCAAATTCAAATTTCATCTTAGACAGCAGTGTAGCACCAGTGTAGCAAATGTAAGCATGTGCTTACAAATAATTTTATAAAAAAAAAATTTTCAATAAAAATTTTACTATGATCGTTCAGCTTATGGGGACTGCTGCCCCCTTACTTTTTCCAGTAGCTACGCCACTGTTAGATACTAATAGATTCTTTACAGTATTGATTATTGGCCAGGGTTCCCACTTTATAAGCTTTTACTTCATGCTGATCAGTTGGCAATTATACTAGAAATTGCATTTTGCAGGAATAGTGCAACTTATTTCCTCTGAGTAATTTTTAAAACAAAACAATCATTATTTTTTTTTATCAGATAAAAAGTCAGAATAATCAATAGGAATTTTTTTTTCTGAATTCTTCTTTCCAAGATAATTTTTCTTCTGGAGTTACAATGCCAAAACTTCTAGAGCTGATTAATTGAACATGCTGAAGACTACCGTATTTATTTTTTTAATTTGGAGGAAAGTTTAATTTGTTTTGTTAATTCAGTTTCCTATGCATATTTGTAAATAATGCTGACAATCTTGGGTATAATGTTAATTCTAACATGACGTTCTTCAAACGCTTTGAGTACACACCCGTGGTAAAATATGAATATATTGTTTGGGCTGTTCCGATCGTACTCCCGCGTCATATGCTTTTTTTATGAATGAGCTACCCGACGTCATAGAACGATGACGTAAGAATATAAGCATTTTACGGGAAAACACACGCTTGTGAAACCGAAAATCATCACAACAAGGAAACATAAACAAACGATGCTAAAATGTGTTATATAAGCCATTTTTTGTTTCCATATAAGATATATAAATACAATTATCATTTAGATTCATTCAAACCTGTCTAAATATGTCATTGTAAATAGTTTAAGCATGCCATTTATTCAGTTTGCTCCGTTCTTTTACGTCAATTTAATAGTGCGTTTATTTATGGGAATGGCAAATAATGCCTTCACCTAGAGCGCTTCATCCCAAAAGAATTGCCGTATTTGTCCTATTAGAATCGAAATAATTCATGGGGGCTTGAATATATCGTGATTTTACCACGGGTTGTCTCTTTATGCCGATATTTTACCCCTCGCTATCGCTCAGGGTAAAATATTTGTCATAAAGGGCCAACCCGTGGTAAAATCACGATATATTCAAGCCCCCATGAATTATTTCTTAATTAATATATAATCACTATAGATATTAAAATGCAAAAATCAAATGAACTTAATTAGACAATTTGAATTGGATCTTTTTAAAACATGAATTTGGGGTACTGGTACAAATTTGTGTTTTTTTTCACTCAAACTTATTCAGTTAACATGAAAAGATCATCCATCCAGTTGATTGAGATATTTAGGGTCAGTAGGTAAAAAAATAATTAATATAAGTTCTAGACCTTATAATATTACCTGTTGTGCCTTTCAAATATCTTTTAAATCCATGTGACGTCTGGGCCACACATAAAAATATTTGGGTTTGCCCAAACATTACCCAAAGGTAAACATTGGGTAGGTAGGTAGGCATTTTCTTTTTTTTTTCGCAAAGAGAAATTGAAGTTTTTCTGGGTAGGTAGGGTTAGGGCAAACAAACATGTTTTTTTTTATGGCCTTGATCTTAAGGGTTTAATTGTTAAAACTATATACATTTAGATTCTCAATGCGTCTATACATTTTTACTGTGACTAAAATTTTTAAAAGAAAGCAACAAAGTATAAAAAACAATTTTCACTTTTGTAACTCTCATGGTTGCTTTATTAAACAGTTTTTGTAAGCTGCTAGAAGCAACTAGAAAAAAAAAGTTTTTTTATGCAATTAACTCATTTTGATTATTGGTTTAGAATGCAAATGTTGAATTTTGTTCCTGACAGGTCCATTGACAGACACTTAAATGTGTCTCTTAAAACTTTGACAGCAGCAAAAAATGTAATTGTTTTACAACAACCATATCTACCATGTCTACTGACTGAAAAACTGTAATGTACTAATTCAATTTTATGGTTGTTGAGAATTGAATTATTTTTAACAAGAGTTACTTCCCATTGTATAGTGAATCTGTTGTTTCACTCGAATATGTTGCAAGGATAGCACAGTTGTCTCCCTTGTAAGAAATGTTAACATGGCTAAGGACTTTAAATATGCATACAGTCTGCTGAAAATTGACTTTTTTTACCAACTGGACAATCTGTGATTTTCATATGTATGGGAAGAATATATATAGCCATAAACTGCATAAAAGATAACTATAAAAATTTCTAAATATTTCACTAGAAGTATATTTGATATTATGTTTTTAAAAAACTATTTGAGATATTATTTTGGATTGCTAGGTTAAAGTTTTAATTCATAGCATAGGACAAAACTGAGAGGGTACACAAAATTTAGGAATACTCTGCAGTTAAAAATATGAGTCAAGCATTCTTTAATTTTATTGTTTTTAGTTAGTTACAAAAAAAAATTGTTTTTGTGTATACTTTTGCATACATGTATGTTATGAAATGTTGCATTTTCACATAGAAATGAATAAATTTCTATCAATGTTTCCTTGAGTTTGACTAAACAAAATGACTGAGGAAATATTGTGCCTATTTTCTTGTTTTTTGTATTTACAAATTTATATAAATAACCAATAAAATGTATGCCATTGTCTGTCTGATGATTCATACATCCATCTGTCCAAGTACATCTCTTGATAGCTCAAGTTTTTTTTAACAGATCTTCATAATTTTTTTTTTAATTTTCATTTTATAACTTAAAAATGTTCAAAATAAGACGAAGGGCATATCATATATGCATCCATGGTGTAGCAGTAAACTGATTCAGTTTTATCTGGTATTTACATCACTTGATAGGGGTTGTAAATATCATATAACAGAAAACCAAAGAATGTCAAAGATTTGATTTGATAAACAATTGGTCTTTTTATACATTTAAGTCAATTTGTTGGTCTTTTTATACATGTAAGTCAAATTTGTTTGCTTGATAATAAAAAAAATTTATAAAAAAAAACTTAAAAAGGTACTTAACGTTATGGAATAGATATCTGCATTAGAAAACCTTCTTCAATATTTTAATATAAATGGTGTTTATCAGTGTTTTACTTTTAGATACTTATATCAAGATGTACATGACTAATTTACTTTTAGCTACACATTCAGCCTACAACCATACAATGTATTTTTACGTTACATTGTTTTCCCAAAAAGTTTTAAATAAAATTGAGAATGGAAACGGGGAATGTGTCAAAGAGACAACAACCCGACCACAGAACAGACAACAGCAGAAGGCCACCAACAGGTCTTCAACGAAACATATTTGTGGTATTGTATGTGAAGATTATGTTTTTATATTATATGTATGTGTGCTATTGCACTTGTTTTATGCATTGTTTTTCATTAATATACATATATAAATGCTTGGTGCATAATGATATCTATCTAGTATGTGTTGTTTTTAGCAAATTTAATTTATAGATTATAGTCTCAATAGTGTTGAGACTACTATAAGACTATGTGATATAGTAGTCTCAGAATAGTGGAAGTTCTAAAGTTTTAGGAAAAAAGTTGGAAAATGTTTATTACCACATTTGAATTACTTAACGTAAAGTAACATACATGTATTTGTTCTTAGCGTTATGTAAAAAAAATGAACTTAATATTCAGGTTTATGTTGATGAATAAAAATTCAAATACAACATTTTTGTTATTGATGTGAAGGAAATGAGAAAAATTCAAGTTCAGCAAACATGATGGACGTTCCACCTATACCCAGAAGAAATGACATCTTGTTGAATAATGCAACATTATAAGGACATAAAAACAAGAGTGACTTCTTCCCTAGTTTGAATATGCTGACAAATTGTCAATGCAACATAGATACTGTTATAGAAAGAAAAAAAATCAAAATTTAATTATAAACTATTTTAAATCACAGGTAAACTACTATGCGGTATATGGGCTTTGTTCATTGTTGAAGGCTGTATGGTGACCTATAGTTGTTAATTTCTGTGTCATTAGGTCTCTTGTGGAGAGTTGTCTCATTGGCAATCATACCACATCTTCTTTTTTATATACACAGGCGTTTGTCTCTGAATTTTTTTTACCTATATACCTTAATATAAAGGACAAGTCTAAATTGAAAACAACGTTCAAACCTATGATTGTGTTGGATAAAAACCGCAATTTTTATACATGTGCATGCAAAACAAATTTCTTGTTAGAGTGGTCTAAATACAGCACAAACAACATTTTCCAAAAGACCAAAAAAGTGAAAAAGTATATTTTAACAAAACGCATTTGACTAACAGGTAGAACAACAAATGTTCTTAAACCCTGCTGACTGCCATTGGCGATTGCCAAATACACGGATCACAAGGTGTAATAAATGGATCTTAATTGTAAATTAAATACCAAACAGAAAACAATAAACTTGCGGCAAAGATGGTATACCGCAAACAAAGGTACAAAGATTTTTGTACACCATATCCGGATTTCGACAATTAATGTCTCTTCAGTGATGTTGGGAATCGAAACGGTATTTGGAAGGCCATATGATTTACCTCAATTTAGGATAGACTCCTGAATTTTGAGGAGTCAAAATAGGATGAACGGATCATATAAACCCGAAGGCAAATATAATACAAGCCCAAACGAAAAAATATAAACAAGTCTAAATTGAAAACAACGTACGTTCAAACCTATGATTGCGTTGGATAAAAACCGCAATTTTTATACGTGTACATGCAAAATAAATTTCTTGTTAGAGGGGTCTAAATACAGCACAAACAACATTTTCCAAAAGACCAAAAAAGTGAAAAAGTATATTTTAACAAAACGCATTTGACTAACAGGTCGAACAACAAATGTTTAAGGTATATTGGTAAAATTTTTCAGAGACAAGTGTCTCAAATTAAAAACACAAAATTTGAACATGAAAACATCAGTACACAGAGTTCGATCATTCACTTAAATATTGATCGAGTGATATTAGATGACTGAACACAGGAAAAAGGATCCGGAGGGGGAAAAATGTGATTCACCAAAAAACTAGTTAGTTTCAACATATTTTATTGTTCAATGGGAAAAATGGATCAGACACAAGTATTTTAACTTTAGTTAGTAACTTCTTCTTCAAAAAGCCACTTCTGTGTTGTGTATGATAATAATGCCCTTTTTGGTAATGTATGTATTGGGTTGATATTGGTATCTGAATCTTAAGTTGCATACTGTAAACCAACTTATTTTCGCGGATACTTTAATTCGCGTTTATCTCTTTCTAGCCCACTTCGCGGCGATTTAATTTCGTGATTTTCAGATTTACTTGTTGTAGTTAGATAAGGAAAGATCCTAGTTTTTAAATTTTCACAACGATTTATATTCGCGTTATTTTTCTTCTCGCGAAAGTCGCGAAATCAAATTGCTATCGAAAATTAGTTGGTTTACTGTATTTAGGATGATATTGTCAGAGGCATAGATCAGTCCAGAAACAACCAGAACAAATAGAATATTTTTTATGTCCCAATGATAAAATGTCAGAAGACATATTGTTTTACCCCATCTGTCTATCCCACATAGGGTAAATGATTTTATTCAGATAATTCTTCAGTTTTCGAGCAAGTACTTTGTAGCAGTATGCCGATATTATATTGAAGGTGTACATATTATCAGGATTTTGATTTTCTCAATATTTTCCATAACTGACAGGATCTTGAAATATTTGGATGAAGTTTGTCCGGCTAACTTCTTCAGTTTTCAAGTATAACTTTTATTTCAAACATCGTGTTAATACATGTAGTAAGAGTAGGCATATTATCAGGATTAAATTTTCTTTAAATTTTCCACAAATGACAGGATTCTGAAATTGTTTTTGACTGAAATTTTAATTTCTCACTCATAAGTAATAGAACTATATTTTCTACCCCTGAAATAGATTACCTTAGCTGTATTAAACTTTCAGAATTGTTGGGTCCTCAATTCTCTGTACTTTATTTGGCCTTTTTAACTTTTTTAATTCAAGCTTCACTGATGAATCTTTTGTAGTCGAAATGCCCATCTGGTGTACACAATTTTAATCCTGGTATCAATGACGAGTTCATTTGGTATATGGGTTCTTTGCAATTTCCATATGTTCGTCAGACAGGGTTCACCTGAACTCTACCTCCTTTCATGGATCATTTATCCAGATCAAAGTTACGTGATAAGATCCATTTCTCAGATACTATAGTCAGTAGGTCAACTATAGTTGGTGTATGGAATGATTCTAAAGTGTATATGTCAGTCTGGCAGGTTTCATCATACCTTGACCTCATTTTCATTGTTAAGTTTTGTGTTTTGGTATGTTTTTAAAATACTATTAGCAAAAGATTAATTATATTTGATGTATGGAATGATTGCAGGGTGTACATGTCAGTCTGGCATCTATCATTTGACCTTGACCTAATTTTCATGGTTCATTGGTCAGTTGTTTAGTTTTGGTGGCTTAGTTCATTTCTGAGATACTATAAGTTTATGTGATAGTTGTAGTTAAACCTTTATCTTTAAGACTTTCAACATAAAAAATCAATCATGGTTAGTAAAGCACACGAGACATTTCAGTGTGTGCACTCTTGCTGGATTAAATTATGCATGTGGGATACATGCATATGGTTTTTCAGAATTACTCCTCTGACTGACAGGCAGATAGACCTTGCAAGGATCCATATACAAAATATAGTTATTGAGTTACTTAAAATAAATGAGTATATATCACATGACAAAAAAAAATTCCCATTACATTCTTTACAGGCAGTCCCTGATCCATGAAAAATGAGGTCAAAGACAATGGATATATGACAGACAGAACTTTTGTAACATAAGGCATCTGCATACAATCTATGATTCATCTAGGTCTTTTAAATGAAATATAAAGCTTTAAACATTGTTTACACTACAACCACTGTACGATAGTATTCCGTCACATCTCACATTTTGCAACTTTCATTGCAGAAGACAAAATATAGTAAAAATCATCATTAGAGAGCATTAAATTGTCTGCATTTTTGGTCGAAATGGACAGTAGATAGATCTGCCTATGTCAAATTTTCTTTCTATAATGGCTTTAAAGATAATGGACCGTACTTGCTCTTGATGGCAATGTTAGTTGGCAGGAAGTATCACCAAACACAGCTTTTAAACTGGATACCCCAAGGATAACTGTGGTCATGTTTGGTACCAATTGGCCAACTAGTTTCAGAGGAAAGCATTTTTGTAAAAGTTAAAAGACAATGACGAATAGACGAAGTGATGAGAAATAAACTGCTTCGCTGAGCGCAGCCAGATACGCCAGCAGAGGTCCAACCCTTAACAGTTGGGGCAAAAATGGACACAATATTCAAGCTTGATTCAGGTCTGAATTTGGATTGTAATTAAATATTTGACATATTATAGGTGTCTGAATAAATGTATTCAAAGAACTTGAAATTGGTTATATGAATTGAATTTATGTTCAATTAAAGATTTCTTGCTGTTGTGCAATACTTAGTAAATCTGTTGTCAGACTATAAACAAATAAAGTATAATTAATTCTCAATGTCATATTAGAAATTTATGAAAATATAAAGGGATCTTACATCAATAGATATAAACAATTCACCAAAGTTTCATGAGAATTGGTGACAGCATTTTTGAGTTATTGTCAGAAAACTGGAAAATCACCCCTTTTTAATGAATAAAACCCCATAACTCAGAAATGTAAAATGTAAAATTTATAAAATTCTAAAGGGAGCTTACATCAATACATACAAACAATTCACCAAAGTTTCATAAGAATTGCTGAAAGCATTTGTGAGTTTTTGTCTGATAACTGGAAAGTCCCCCCTTTTTTTATGAATAAAACCCCGTAACTCGGAAACGTAAAATCTAAAATTTATAAAAATCAAAAGGGAGCTCATGTCAATAGATATAAACAATTCACCACAATTTCTTGCAAGTTGGTGAAAGCATTCTTGACTTATTGTCCGAAAACTGGAAAATCCCCCTTTTTTTAATGAATAAAACCCCATAACTCAGAAACGTAAAATCTAAATTTTATAAAAAACGAAAGGGAGCTCACGTCAATAGATATAAACAATTCACCAAAGTTTTATGCAAATTGGTTTAAGCAATTTTGAGTTAATGTCCGACATGTTGACGACGGACAGACGGACGGACAGACGGACAGACGGACGGACGGACAGACGGACAACGGTATACCATAATACGTCCCGTAAACGGGCGTATAAAAATCACATATGGGTTAAGCTCATTGTTGAAGGCCGTACAATGACTTATATTTGCTAACTTCTACATCATTTGGTCTCTGGTGGTAAGTTGTCTTATTGGCAATCATACCACATCACCTTATTTTTATACTTATCAGAAAAGTTTGAACATTAGGTGTTGACACTACAACGAATGTACCACATATTTAAAACCGTCCATGACATTCATTGCAGGAAAGACAGAAAAGGAAATACAAATAACAACATATTTAATCTTTATATATAACAATACTAAATATAATGTAAAAGTTCACAACATAAATATGAGAAATATACACAAAAAAAATGGAATGTTTACAAATATATAAATAACAAATGGAATCATTACACAAAAATCGACATGGAGAATCAAAGAATAACATGAAACATCTAAAATAATAATAAAAAAAAAAAAATGGATTCATAAAGATTTGTTGACCAAATGGAATCAAATAAAATAAATCTTCAGTAAATTTCATTTAATAAGTATGACATACAATATATGAATATATCGTTCATCAATCTGGCGCGATTAAGTGACACATGACACTCATGGGAGTTTTAAGTATCCTTCATCAATCATAAGTACAGGGAATATCAGATATACTGGTATGTTGAAATAAAAACTTCAATGTCCATTTATCATGCCCACATTTGGGCAAAATCTGAAGAGAGGCTTGAAATTTGGTACACCACATGACAATAAATGGCAAGTTTTTTGTTAAAGAAATGTTACTGACAAACTTTTTACTGTTACGATGACGGTAGCTCAAATATAGGAAATTTGGAATAGGAATCACTTGAACGGTCAAGGTGAAACTTATATAGCTGACACTCAGGTATTGTTCCAAATGATGATCAGATAAAGAGATTTTTTCTCATGAAGTTGAAAATTGGAATAAAAAAAAAAAAGACATCAGGAAAAACTAAGGTCATTTGTCACCCTCTAAACCAAAATCTTTGATTGACCCCTGAACAATGTAATGAACATATATATAAAGAAATGTTCAATAGAATCTGTATGCTGGTTTATACATATAAGAAAATGAATAAAAGAAATAATGGTTTCATTTCATCCCTTTACTAGTGCTTTCACTGCTATTACAGATCTTCAGGTACAGTGTGACTTGTATTCATAAGTGTTTTAGAACAATTGATCGACGCTTACATATGAATACATGTACATGTATCATGTAAATTTTTACTAAACATAAACTGTTATCACAGAGATATGTCTCGCCTATTTGTTATTTTGATAATGCAAATGTTGAAATTAAAATAGCAATACTTTAACATGTAAGTTATGCAAATATTCAAAGTCAATGAACCATGACTGAAGGTACAGGGCTAAACAATCTCCATGGAAATGAGATGTGTCCATGCTAATACCATTGCATACCAAATACCATTGACTTTTCATAAGTCGTTCCCTTTAAACAAACCTAAACACAAACATTAACTTGTAAGCTATGTAAAAGTTTCAAAGTCAATGAACCATAATTAGGGGGTGGGGTTATATAATCTCCATGGAAATGAAACTTGCAAATGCCAATACATTTGCATACAAAATATCATTGACTTAACATTAGTGGTTCATCTTAAACAGACCTAATCACAAACTAATACATATGTAAACTAAGCAAACGTTTCAAAGTCAATAGACCATGACTGAGGGGGGCGGGGCCAAATATTCTCCATGGAAATAAGATGTGCCAATGCTTATACAACTGCATACTAATTAACATTGGCCTACCACTAACAGTCCCCCTTAAACTGACCTAATCATAAACTAATACAAGTAAAATAAGCAAAAGTTTCAAAGTCAATAAACCATGACTGAGGGGGCGGGGCCAAATAATATCCATGGAAATGAGATATGCCAATGCTTATACAACTGCATACCAAATATCATTGACCTACCACTAGTGGTTCCCCATAAACTGACCTAATCACAAACTAATACATGTAAACTAAGTAAAGTTTAGAAGTCACTAGACCATGACTGAGGGCGCAGGGCCAAATAATCTGCATGGTAATGAGATTTGCCAATGCTAATACAACTGCATACCAAATTTCATTGACCTACCACTAGTGTTTCACCACTAAACTAGACCTAATCACAAACTAATACATTGTTGACCCTGACGCCGCCGCCTATACCTAAAGCATACCTATGTCTCGCTTTTTGACTTTGTCAAGGCGAGACAATATATATTAATGGCTTTGTTCAGCAATTTAAAAAAAAAATCAACATTTAACCTCTCTTTCCTCAAACTTCAAAGAAACATCACAACAGTTCACAATATTATTGTGCAAGTTTCAAAAAAACAAAATTAAACACAACCCACATAGATCTCCTTTTATTCATATACATGTATTACCTTAAAAGATTAGAAAAATGTCAACACTGCAGTGATTATATTTTTGTGTACTGTGTGCTGTGTTACTGTCTGTTAGCTAGGTCAAACAGTTAAACAAGTCACCCAAAACAGTGTCAAAATAACAACATAAAGATTAATAGTGTCTTATAAATTTCTTCCATGATTTTCATGGAACTTTCACATTAAAAACAAAGAAAAATTTAAACTTTCAGTTTTTATTCTAACTTTAATAATCTCACTGCTATCAATTGAACTACTCATGTGTTCAGTAAGCCAAAATAAAAAAATTGAAAATAAACTTGACATTTTTCAAAATTTGCAGTTTTAAAAGGTTATTTACATGTAGCATTATCAGTGTCTACCTGTCTTTTACCTCACGGGAGTATAATTTAAGTTGAATAAGACAATGTCAGATAACTTTCCTTCTCCTGAGTTTTGCCTGACAAAATTTCATTTTGACAGACGATTATTTTAAAGAAAGGTCATGCAAAAGCCAGAAAAGATTTTATTTTTTTCTAAAAATAACATGAGTTTTTCATGTTAAATGCTATATTTAATGAAAATATATTTATATTCAAGAAAATAAAGATAAATGGATTTATTGATGTTGAACACGTATAAGCCTCATAATGATTCTATACTTCATGTTCCAAGATAAACTGTCCATGTTGGATTTCATTTTACACACAAAAGTCATGTAATAACGTCAGAAATCAGGTTTGGGATCAAAACAACGTCTCTGCATGGAAACATCAACGTATGGGTGGTGTCGACTAAAGATAAGTTTTGAACAGAGTGAGGAGGTCAAAATAGAAGAGTGTGGTCAAATTTCAAAGTGGAAATCTATTTAAATCATTCCATTTGCTAAATTGGCCTGTGTGAAATACTAGTATTAGGAGGATGCATAGAAAAATGTAACACAACATTACTTTTCAACCTTCAAATTAAAACAACTATCCTGGACTTTTCTATCGTGTAATTATCAGTTTGTTTGTGAAAAACTTTGTGACTTATGAAGGTAGAACTAGGATAAGAAACATAAATCTTAAAAATCAAAGTATGTTTGTGTCAGAGCTATTTTCTTAATACCTTCTACACTTCAAAGTAGCACAGTTTATAATTAATTCTCAGTCATACAAATGCTACATTTGTTTTAATAAAGCACTGAATAGCCTTTCTTTTACAAACATATTTCTGATTCAGAGTTATCTCCTATGACCATGGTTTACTCCCTCAACATAAAAAACTAAGCTGTTTCATTAAGATTTCTTTGATCGGGATGTGTATTCTTTATATGTCTTGTAAGATTATCTTTTCTTGTGAACTTAGATTTACAATATTGACATGAAAACATGACACCAAAATGCAACTGGCAATGACGGTAAAGAGAATCATACCCACTGAGCTTTGTAAAACAGACGACACATGTAGCTGCATCTAACTGGCCAGGGTGTTGTTGTGTTCCATGTTGGACAACTTGTGCCCCTGAGTCAAGATACATACCACATAGTCGACATACAGTCAATTCACTATGTAGGGCAATCCTACGTTTCTTTGGTTTACTTTCTGTCTCTTTTTGTTTTGGCCTTTGAACAACATGATTGTGTTTGTTCTGACTAATCCCGGGTTCATATAAATGTTTTGCAAATAAAGCATCTGTTTCTGGTAAGGTTAAAGAACTTGGCTGTGACTGATTTTGGTATATCTGAGTACCACAAGTCCCTGTTTCTGGTTTAATTTCAATAAAATTTTCATTTTCTTCCTTCTCAGAACTATCATATAGGGACTGACACTTGATCCAGCTTTCTAAATCTATTTCAGATTCTTGTTTGATTTGTGATGGATTCAACAGTAGTTCAGTATTTGATGGCATCTGAACTTCAGATGTTCTTTTTGAAGTGTCACTATCATATTTCATACTTTCAATTCTTCCAATATCAAACACATTGGAATTAAAAAATTCATCCACTTGTTGTCCTTCAAATGTTTGATCTTCTTTAATTACAATTTCAGGGCACGCATCATAGTCACTTATACCTTGTTCTTTTTCATTCAAAGATCTACCCTGGAGATCTGTGTTTTCAAATTCATCAATCTGGTCTTTAGAATCATCTTCAGATGATATTTGGTCATTAGCTACATCTTCTCCATGTGTTCTTACTATATGCGCTTTCATCTCTGCAAGGGAATGGAAACCAATATTACATGCACTACACATGTAATTCACTCCAGCATTTTTCTCAAAATTACTCTCTTCTAAATCAATTTCCAAATTTTCAGTGCTTAAAGGATCAACATGTTTTAGTTGTTTAGATATTTGTGTTCCAATAGGTCCCTTATGGTTCATGGTCAATATGGATCTTAACACAGGCAGTTTCTTCTTGCAATGCAGATTATCAACAATGGAATTTAACTTAGAAGTTTTATCATTAAATGATGTTGCAGTGGTTACACTTGAACCTTTCGTAGGTTGTTCAAATGTTGGGAAAACAGGTGAAAAGCTAGATGGTTTATCACCTAAAAATACACCAGACATTTCATCTTGTTCAGTTAAATTTTTAGAACCACTTTGTACCGTTTCTTCCAAGTTCTGTGTATCTACTGGTTTCCAATCTGTATTCTTATGGGTAACGTTAAAGTGACGCTTTAAATTATCTTTCCGTGTAAAACAAGCATAACAACATGGACATGGAAAACTGCGCTTTTGCATATGAGCAATGCTGTGTCTGATAAAACTACCTCTTGTGGTGAAAAACCTATTACAAACAGGACAGACACTGGATTTACCGTGAACAGTGTTATGATTTATAAGTTCCTTGTATGTACCAAGCCGTACATTGCAAGTCAAGCACCTTGGAATATTTTTAGCATTTTGCTGACTTCTTTGTTGGTTTCTAACTTTTGACATAAAATCATGTACTTTGTGTGATGGTTCATGAATTTTCTCTGGAATTATCTGCTTTAAAGACTTATTGTTTTGTTTAATGGAATGTTCAGCCCCTAAATCTGACAACATGCCCTGTGCAGGCACACTCTCACTTGCTGACTTGTTGGAATCTTGAACATCATAAACACTAACAGTACTTGGTAGAGTTGAATCAAAACCATTATTTACAGGAGCTATCAAACTGTTCAACTGATTACTCCTGGAATCTAAATCTTTCTCATTTACAGATATATCTATTTTTGGTTCAAGTCTTATATACTTTTCAGTCTGATTTCGGTTTTCATGATGATTTTTTGGTGACATATTTGAAACATTTTTTGAGATATGATTTGTATGATGTTTATCTGATGATTCTGAAAATTTCTGGTAAGAGTAAGGGCTTGTTATTGCTTCATTTGCAGAGCCAAAACCTTCGAGAGTAGACCTTGACAAGCCAGATGAGAATTTAGGAACAGCTGCTGTCTCAGAATTTGTTCTGTGATGTTGTATACCAGATGATGATGTCTCTAGTATATCTGTATAGAAGAAAACAAAATAAGTTATTGCAACTAAAACCATGTATACATATGAGGGTAGAAATGGTCTTAATGGTCAAGTGTTAGCATCAAATGAGACTAAAATATTTATCACTATAACACATTTTTTTCGCTACCATTATCGTAGAATTGTATAAATATAGATTCTACCACTGCATCTAGTGTGATATGATATTTCTCCAACAGAGATAGTTAAATTTTCAAATTTAAAACATGAGGCTCGTCAAGCATTTTAAATATTTAAAATTTAACTGTCGAGAGTTGAGAAATATCGTATTGAACAAGATTTGGTGGTAGAATCTGTTTCTTTAATGACATTTAGACGATAAGCAGACAAACTTAATTCTTCTTTTCCAATGATCTGCAAAAAGATAAGTTCTTTCTATGTAACGTCATCAGACATGGTTGCCTTTTTTCATGAATTTTGATAGGAAATTAAGAGGATCACAAGAAAACTTGATGTTAAAATTGATTTTTTACCAATGAAGAACTGAGATCAAACAAACCACACAAGGTCAGGAAAAGGATAAATCTGCTTAGAAGTAGAGAAATACTTATTTTCAATATGTTTTAAGCAAAATCTTATCTTAAATCATCTTATAGGGTACCCCATGTACACTCTTATATATTATAATGTCACCCGTAGTGAAGATTGAGTTATTTTGGAATGATGGAAGGACAGACACAGGTTACACTATATGTACAGCAATTTGTTGACAGGGACTTAATTCTTTTAATGTCTGCTTTTTAAAATAGTAATCACTTTCTATTCAATTTCATCTGTACAATAAAATTTAAACAATGTATCTTGTCTGTCATATTTGTTTTTTTCGTAAATTGTTTTATTATATATCAAGCTGTTAGTTTTCTTGCTTGAATTGTCTCACATTTTTCATCATGGTGCCTTTTATAGTGGACTATACGGCATGGTTTTTTTGTCTCGCCTTGACAGAGTCAAAGAACGAGACATACATGTAGGTATGCTGTTTCCTGTGTTGGCGGCGTCAACAATGTATAAGTTTGTTATTAGGTCTAGTTTATAGTGAACCCCAAGTGGTAGGTCAATGATATTTGGTATGCAGTTGTATTAGCATTGGCACATCTCATTTCCATGGAGATTATTTAGCCCTGCCCCCTCAGTCATGGTCTATTGACTTTGAAACTTTTGCTTAGTTTACATGTATTAGTTTGTGATTAGGTCAGTTTAAGGGGGAACCACTAGTGGTAGGTCAATGATATTTGGTATACAGTTGTATAAGCATTGGCATATCTCATTTCCATGGAGATTATTTGGGTCCGCCCCCTTAGTCATGGTCTATTGACTTTAAAATTTATCTTAGTTCACATGTATTAGTTTGTGATTAGGTCAGTTCAAGGGGAACCTTAAGTGGTAGGCCAATGTTAATTGGTATTCAGTTGTAAAAGCATTAGCATATATCTCATTTCCATGGAGAATATTGGGCTCCGCCCCCTCAGTCATGGTCTAATGACTTTGAAACTTTTGCTTAGTTTACATGTATTGGTTTGTGATTAGATCAGTTTAAGATGAACTGCTAATGTTAAGTCAATGATATTTGGTATGCAAATTTATTGGCATTTGCATGTATAGTTTCCATGGAGATTATATAGCCCCACCCCCTCATCATGGTTCATTGACTTTGAAACTTTTACATAGTTTACAAGTTAATGTTAGTGTTTAAGTTTGTTTAAAGGGAACCCATTATAATAAGTCAATGGTATTAGGTATGCAGTTGTATTAGCATTGGCACATCTCATTTCCATGGAGATTGTTTAGCCATGTACCTTCAGTCATGGTTCATCCACTTTGAATATTTGCATAACTTACATGTTAAAGTACTGCTATTTTAATTTCAACATTTGCATTATCAAAATTACAAAAAGGCGAGACATATCTCTGTGATAACAGTTTATTTCATTATTGAAGGCTGTACGGTGGCTTATAATTGCTTACTACCACTACATTTTCACTCTGGTGGATTGTTGTTTCATTGGCTGGCAATTATACCATATCTCCTCAGTTTTATTTACATGTGTACTGCAAATTTTTTTCTTGTCCTATTCTAAACAATCACTATATATTACTTACCAGAAGGAATATTTGGCTTCAAATGTCCTCCAAATACAGATGGCATAGGAACAAACGATAGTGAAGCTGGTATTGTAAACTTTGGATTATGTGATGATCCTGTTTCATCTTCTACACCACTTAAATCAATAACAGAGCCACCAGATCTTGTAAACTGTGGTATTACACCTACAAAATCCAAACAAAATGTTTTCAGGTGAGTTAAGTTGCTAAGTGTTTATCATCTTGAGTTTTGTATGTTGTGTTTTGTGAACTGTTGTTTTTTCATTTATTTTTTGGCCATGATGTTGTTATTTGACTTATTATTTTTGATTCCCTCCCCCCCCCTGGTATCTTTTCACTCTTTATCAATCATAATTGCACTGATTGTTTTAAACCTTTATTATTGTATACTTTGAAATTGTCTTTATATCTACTGTACAGTTTAATTAAGATTTGTTTGGTGTTAGTCCATTAGAACTTATTTCCTTTGTTTACACTGTGATACCTCACTTTGTGAGAAATACTTTTGTAACCTATGAAACACTGTCAATTTCATTGAGATATATGCCTGTAATGATGTACTGGTATTCATGAGCAATACACATGAATTAAATGCTAGGGTTCCAAATGCAAGAAAGGTGTTTTTTTTAAAAATAAAAAATGTTTGAATTAAAAATTATAAGGATTTACCACTTTTTTTTCTAGCTGTTATTGATGTGGGAACTTAGACAATGCACTAAAAGCCTTTAAATAAGTGAGTGGATCAGCCAAGTTTTCACACCTATATTCTTTAAAAAAAATGTGACAATCCTATTATAAAATCCATATTGATTTTCAACAATGGAACATGTAACATTTATTATGTTTAGATAATCATTTCAAGTACAAATAAATAAAAGACAGTTTAGTTTTGATTAGTTATGTTTGTACATAATGGGATTTTCTAGCTGCCTTGAAGATCCATTTGTGGCATTGGGTTGTTTTCTGCTCTTTGGACAGGTTGTTGTCTCTTTGACACATTCCCCGTTTCCATTCTCAATTCTATCGTTTGACGCTTGAGATAAGACAAAACACAAAAGCTTCTAAGACTAATTCATCATAATAAGGAAAATTAATTAATAAGATCATATTAGTTACATTAGAACTAATAAAGGTTGGATCAATTAAGTTAACACTTTATTAATTGAAGTGTTGTTACAATAATTATATGATCTGGTAATCAAGTAAAGTATAATCCAACCGTATCATCATGATCATTGCTACTTTTTTTACTTATGTTAGTTAAAATCTTTCTTATGGTAGCTATATTTTAGTTTGTTTAATTTTGGTACTTTTATTTTAGGAACCAAATACTGGTTAAAACCAAAATACCCAGAAATATGGTATTCTCAATATATTAGTTCATAAAACGGCAATGTTCCAGTTTGATTTTTTTATCCTGTACAGAGATTAAAATTACTGGAAATTTATATGTAACAGGACAGTTTTAGAACAAAAATATATATACATTGTACCAGTATTTTTTTTTTATGATTATTTTTGTAAGGAATGGAGATTACTGGATTTTTTTTTTTATATCTTTCAGTTAACTACTTGTTTCTAAAACATATTCAAGGAAGAAAAGATTTAATATTGTCTTCAATTCGGAGGCATACATCACTGTATGTATAAGCATGTATGTGCATGTTTCCCAATGCAAATTAATAACCTGCTAAGGTTGGTTCTACTGTGTCTCCATCTTGGATCAACAATATAGACACAGCGCCAACAATCTTTGGAATCTTTTTATTTATTGTGAAAGGATGTCTGCTGTGTAATATCAGTTCTCCATCTTCTGTATTAAACACAGCTTCTGTAGAATTCCAAACCACCATTGTAATGATGTCTAAAATTGAAATTAGAACATTTGTCAATAAAACAGCAATAACAGGAAATGGAACCAAATAAAGTGTAAGAAGGTTTAAGTTAGGAATAAAATTTATTAAATCCCCCTTTTCAAAATGGCATGATCCGCATCTGATGCATGTCATGGTCATATAAGTTCGTAAAAAAGGTTTTTTTTGTTCATTTACAAACGGGACATAAATGTCATTTCATAATGAACGAAAAATAGGTTTATGTTGCTTTCTATCAATTTTTACAAAACACAGTGAATAATGAGCTTCATGCAGGAAAGCATGTGAACAAAATTTACAAACACGAAATACATGAAGTAGTTAACCACTCGGGAAGGAGACATATTGTCGTTTGTTGATGTGGTTCATAAGTGTTTCTCGTTTTTTATATAGATTAGACTGTTGGCTTTCCTGTTTTAATGGTTTTACACTAGTCATTTTTGGGGCCCTTTATAGCTTGCTGTTTGGTGTGAGCCAAGGCTCCGTGTTGAAGGCCTTACTTTGACCTATAATGGTTTACTTTTACAAATTGTGACTTGGATGGAGAGTTGTCTCATTGGCACTCATACCACATCTTCTTATATCTATATACCCATCCAACATGCCCAATGGGACAGATGGTTATTGGTTCTGTCCTTAGTTTTTGTCATTTAACCCTGCTTTTGATATCCAAGTGAGAGAAAAAGTTTTGTACAACCTATGAAACAAGAAAATTCCAAATTGTTTGTGTTCATCTTCTGTCACTTTTAACTTAAAATGTGTTTCCCATTTGAACGGGTCCATTAATTTCATAAACAAGGATGAAACAGCTTCAAAATAAAATCTTACCGAATTATGACATAAAAGGAAACAAACTTTGCATAAAGGGATATTAACATAGGATTTCATTTCCAGATCTGTTCGATTGCCTATTTTTAGGATTCACCAACAAAACGGATCATTACTGTTTATTACAATATATAATGCACATTATATTTGAGGTGAATGTTAGTATGTACTACGAAGAATAATTCTTATGTATATTTCAGGGATAACGAATTTGGCAGAGTCAGTGAGAATATTAAAAAAGCATGAAATTTCATTTTTCCATATACATTGTAAATCGTAAAAAAATGGGTCAGCGGATCCGTTAACCAACAACTTAAAAAACCCTCTCCTTATCAATCAAACTAACAATTACATGAGGATTGAGGAATTTTACTATTATTGAAATTTTATGGAATAAGAAATCTAAGTGTCAATGAGTGCCTGTAAAACAGATCTACATTATTTGGTCTCTGGTAGATACATTTGTGTAGTCTCATTGGCATTATACCACATCTCCTTATCTCATACTGTCGGACATGTACATTTGTACATGCAGTTTGTTAGCTAGTTAATGATGCTTTAATAGCTCTTAGGTCCTTCTGGTCTGCAAATTGTCAAAAAATATTAACCTAAGAGCTACGATTCCACAGCTACATTTGTACATGTAGTATTACACAGGTAACATCACAGCTGAGCAGGTGTTAATTGGCCACTGACAACTGTTGGACATCTTGTCAAATTAGGACATTTAAAGAAATATCCCTCTACGAATGTACCTATACTGTACAAGTAATCAGTCTTTCAGTTTCAAGTCAATTATTTCCTGTATAAATGACTTTGTTCTTTATCTGTTACCTTAAGGTAAGCTTTGTCAAAAGTATACATATACTCTTTTACTTAACATGAAAATAAGAAAATGCCATAAAGTGTCATTTTAAGAAAAATGCAGGTGAGAACCTGAGTTGAGATTTTTTTACAGAGACAACACTTGTGTCTGTGACTGTGTTTGACAAATGAAATGTACAAATGATATGCGACTTAAATCCTATATTACTTCCGACTATATAATAAAGAATATCTAAATGTGTCATTATGAATTGTCCTATTGACTAGAAATAATAATATTGCGAATAAACATTACCAGTATAAGGTTTTTTCTGTTTACTATGTCCTGTTTGGCAACATTGTCACCTGAACTGTTTACCGGAAGTGATAATTTATTTTGGGAGACTTAGTTGTATAGTTCCTGCAAATTCAACAATTTACTTAACAATGGCCAATCAAAAATTGCAACAAGCAAAAAGTAAAATCACAAAAATACTGAACTCCGAGGAAAATTCAAAAAGGAAAGTCCCCAATCAAATGGCAAAATCAAAAAAACAAACACACCAAACGAATGGATAACAACTGTCATATTCCTGACTTGGTACAGGCATTTTCTTATGTAGAATATACAATAGAGTGTGATATAAAATATAAATCTAATTACATGTAAATATATTTAGTTTACAGTTCAAGTTTATTTTTTTGGGCTGTTAAATAAAATCTATCCTTTGTTCTAAGAGCGAGCAGACTTCGACTTCCGGTTTAACAGGTGCTTGCAGCTCTGTACAGCAAATATGTCAAAGCTGTTAAAACTAGGGGTTTTAAAGTATTTTAAGCCTTCCAGTGTTTTTATAGAAAATTTAGTACGTCCATGAATTATTGACATTGAAGAAATACATCTCATTTCCTTTATAAAATACCAATAAAACATGAAAAAAATTATGTATATTGTAACTTAAGTTGCACTTGTTTATAAATAACTGGGACATGATATATTAGTATATAGTCCCAGGTGTATACTAATATAAGTCTTCAAGACAACAATATTGTGAAAACCCCATGATGCGCTGCAAATGAATGAAAACGCATGATAAAGGACTATGCAGTCTTTTCACTTATGAAATTGGCTAAAACTTAAAAGTTAGCTCAAAAGTCTGCAACAATAATGCCCAAAAGTTAACTTCACTCCCTTTCATGTTCACACTCTTTTTTAAGGTTTTGTGTTGAATAATTTTGAAATTGTGTTTTATTGTATCGCTATGAAATAAAAGACAAGTTTTTTTATTGTTTTTAAATAAAGTTTTTACTCGTATCAATCTAGCTAACTACATATATTTTACTTTACACCAAAGCTAGTTATAACAGAGACATATGTTACAATGTATTATACATGTATGTCTCTGGTTATAGCAACAATCATAATTGTTCGATGCCAAATTACCTTAAGTTGTAAATACTAATTAACAAGAATCATAAATTAACAATTGATAATTAATCAACTAAAAAATAGGGGTGTGAAGTGGTAAGGAAGTGAATGGACCTGATACCAACAATAAATGACATTTTACACACAAATTTATATGTATTTACATGTATATACAGGAACCATAACTGTTTCTTTTGTGTTGTAACAGGATGTTATTTTTATACGACCGCAAAAATTAAAAATTTTTTGGTCGTATATTGGTATGACGTTGGCGTCGTCGTCGTCGTCGTTGTCGTCGTCGTCGTCGTCCGGCGTCGTCCGGCGTCGTCCGGCGTCGTCCGAAGACACATTGGTTTTCGCACTCTAACTTTAGTTTAAGTGAATGGATCTCCATGAAATTTCACCATAAGGTTCAATACCACGAAAGGAAGGTTGGGATTGATTTTGGGGGTTATGGTACCAACAGTTAAGGAATTAGGGGCCAAAAAGGGGCCAAAAATAAGCATTTTTGTAACTTTCAGACAATAACTTGTGTGTAAGTGTATGGATCTCTCTGACATTGTACCACAAGGTTCCATATCACAAAGGGAAGGCTGTAATTGATTTTGGGGGTAATTGCCTCAAAATTTTAGGAATTAGGGGCCAAAAAAGGGGCAAAAAACAAGCATGTTTCTAGTTTCATGACAATAACTTGTGTGTAAGTGTTTGGATATTTCTGAAATTGTACTACAAGGTTCCATATCACAAAGGGAAAGCTGGAATTGAGTTTGGGGGTAATTGCCCGAAACGTTTAGGAATTGGGGGCCAAAAAGGGGCCAAAAATAAGCATTTTTCTAGTTTCATGACAATAACTTGTGTTCAAGTGTATGGATCTCTCTGAAATTGTACTGCAAGGTACCATACCACAAAGGGAAGGCTGGGATTGAGTTTGGGGGTGATGAATCATAAGGGGGTTCAAAAAATTTGGGGGGGGGATTTTTTTTTTTTTTTTTTTTCTTTTTTTCCTTTTTTTTTCTTTTAAAATTTTCCATTTTAAGTTGGTTATTTCTGATTTATATTTAAAATCAAATAATAATGATATGGTAGGAGATACACACCAAACAGGATGTGTAAATTATTATATAATAAGTATTGTGCAATAGCAAGAAATTTTCAATTGCACAGTATTGCACAATAGCAAGAAATCTTCAATTGCACAGTATTGCGCAATAGCAAGAAATCTTCAATTGCACAGTATTGCGCAATAGCAAGAAATATCCAATAGCACAATATTGCGCAATAGCAAGAAATTGTCAATTGTACAGTATTGCGCAATAGCAAGAAATATTCAATTGCACAGTATTGTGCAAAAGAAGATACTTCGTATAAATTGCTTATTTCTTAATCAATTTCAATGGGGTTTTATTCTTGAATTCTTGGGGTTCTTTAATATGCTGAAGCTAACCGTGTATAAAGTTTTTGGATTTTGGGCCCCGTTTTTAAATTGGTCCACATTGAGGTCCAAAGGGTCCAAAATTTAACTTTGTTTGATTTCATCAAAAATTGAATTATTGGGGTTCTTTGATATGCCGAATCTAACCGTGTATTTAGATTTTTAATTTTGGGTCCCGTTTTTTAAATTGGTCTACATTAAGGTCCAAAGGGTCCAAAATTAAACTTAGTTTGATTTTAACAAAAATTGAATTCTTGGGGTTCTTTGATATGCTGAATCTAAACATGTGTTTAGATTTTTGATTATGGGCCCAGTTTTCAAGTTGGTCCAAGTTGGGTCCAAAATTAAACTTTGTTTGATTTCAACAAAAATTGAATATATGGGGTTCTTTGATATGCTGAATCTAAACATGTATTTAGATTTTAGATTTTTGGCCCAGTTTTCAAGTTGGTCCAAATTGGGGTCCAAAATTAAACTTTGTTTGATTTCAACAAAAATTGAATATATGGGGTTCTTTGATATGCTGAATCTTACCATGTATTTAGATTTTTTATTTGTGGGCCCGCTATCAAATTGGTTCATATTGAGGTCAAAAGGGTCCAAAATTAAACTTTGTTTGATTTCATCAAAAATTGAATTATTGGGGTTCTTTGATATGCCAAATCTAACCGTGTATTTAGATTTTTAATTTTGGGTCCTGTTTTTTAAATTGGTCTACATTAAGGTCCAAAGGGTCCAAAATTAAACTTAGTTTGATTTTAACAAAAATTGAATTTTTGGGGTTCTTTGATATGCTGAATCTAAACATGTATTTAGATTTTTGATTATGGGACCAGTTTTCAAGTTGGTCCAAGTTGGGGTCCAAAATTAAACTTTGTTTGATTTCAACAAAAATTGAATATATGGGGTTCTTTGATATGCTGAATCTAAACATGTATTTAGATTTTAGATTTTTGGCCCAGTTTTCAAGTTGATCCAAATTGGGGTCCAAAATTAAACTTTGTTTGATTTCAACAAAAATTGAATATATGGGGTTCTTTGATATGCTGAATCTTACCATGTATTTAGATTTTTTATTTGTGGGCCCGCTATCAAATTGGTTTCATATTGAGGTCAAAAGGGTCCAAAATTAAACTTTGTTTGATTTCATCAAAAATTTAATTATTGGGGTTCTTTGATATGCCAAATCTAACCGTGTTTTTAGATTTTTAATTTTGGGTCCCGTTTTTCAAATTTGTCTACATTAAGGTCCAAAGGGTCCAAAATTAAACTTAGTTTGATTTTAACAAAAATTGAATTCTTCGGGTACTTTGATATGCTGAATCTAAACATGTGTTTAGATTTTTGATTATTGGACCAGTTTTCAAGTTTGTCCAAGTTGGGGTCCAAAATTAAACTTTGTTTGATTTCAACAAAAATTGAATATATGGGGTTCTTTGATATGCTGAATCTAACCATGTATTTTGATTTTGGACATTGGACCATAATAGGTAAATTAAAAAAATTGAAGTTCTTAGACCACATTCTTTCTGTGTCAGAAACCTATGCTGTGTCAAATATTTAATCACAATCCAAATTCAGAGCTGTATCAAGCTTGAATGTTGTGTCCATACTTGCCCCAACTGTTCAGGGTTCGACCTCTGCGGTCGTATCAAGCTGCGCCCAGCGAAGCATTTTATTCTGTTTTGAATTGTGTCACATTTTGTTACCCAGACCTTTATAGCTTACTACATGTACCTGTATACGGTATGGGTTTTTCTCATAGTTGAAGGTGGTATGGTGACCATGTAGCTGTTCACATCCTAATCCTTTGGTCTTTGGTGGATACTGTTGTCTCATTGGCAATCATACCTCTCTTTATTTTACATAAGTACAAGTACACTTGTAGCTACTGCCTTTTTTTATTTAGCATACATTTTTGTATTGTTTTTTTTTCAAAATACAGAATGAACATACATTATACACAGTACTTCATGCAGTTCATGTACTTGTTGTCATTTACAATATATCATAAAAATAAGGAGATGTGGTATGACTAGTTTATTTAGCTATGTGAACAAATGTATTTTCATTTCTAGTTTATTTTTTGTACAGCCAAAATGACAATTCACTTTGCAAAAAAATTAAATGGTAAGGTAAACACCAACTGATTCTGGGGAAGGTTTTATTTCCTTTGCAATAATTAATTTGGTTGTTCCATCTTCTGTTAACTTATTCTTTAAAATTGGGAGATACAAGTTCAGTCAGTCAATTAAAGGAAGAAAATATCCACTGTCAGTGTTCAGTATATTTAGGATTTGCCAAAATATATGGTGGTATTGGATGATGATGTGTATTGGCTGTTTATATTTATTATAGTCAAACGTCTGGTTTGTTCCATCAGGATATTTTTACCTGCCCTTAAAATTGTCATGGCCTGGCTCCATGGCCTCATTGGAAAGCATTGAATTACAGGAAAAGCTGAAGTCCACTATTTTAGTCATTTATTAAACTGTTACAATGCAGCTGCATGTACATGAATATTCCAAATCAAATCAAAACAAAAACAAAATTATAGAAGCCAGTTTGACTGGCCTTTAAAATTGACGAATTGGTACATAATTTTTACTGTTTATAGAAGCAGGAGAGCCATGAGAACATACAAAGCAATGGCAGTTTTAATACAACTATTAAAAAAATGTTTTATCTATAGGTATGTCTGTTCTGTGGTAGCAGTATCTGGTGTCATTAATGTACAATCATTCCAGTGATCAAGCATTATTTTAAAATCCTGTTATATGTTTTTGTTATAATTATGTTCTATTTAATAGGCCAGAACTTCATCCACAGCCACAAGAGTCTGTTCATGTGGTTCATATGTACAAAACATTAAAAGAAGACAGAAAGAACAACAGACATACAGACAAAACACTCAATTGTATAGTTCAACAACAACTGACAGGTTAGATTAGTCAATTATTTGTTAACCAGATGTCAACCTCTCAGGCTCTGATAAGTATAGTTATAAAGTTAACCAAAAAATTCATGACTTTTGGGAGTAGAAAAATGACTTAAAAATTAATTTTCATGACTATGTGAAACTTGGATCTTCTCTTATGTATAAAAAATAAATCAATGTGAAGTCAGCTACAAAAAAGACTAAACAGGAAAAAAGAATTCACAAAAGTATAAATAAGGTTTAAAGTGTTAAAAAAAACATATATCAATATGAAGAACATAGTTACACTTTTCTATAACTTATCCTCAAGTGTGGCAATGCCAGCTCTTAAACAGAATATGCATCATTTAGTAATAGAACAATTCATTTTCTTTTTAGTTTGAACAACTCTGAATTATCAGTAAATAAGTATGAAGAAATATCAGAAGAAACATTACAGTCCTTGTCTGACAAATTTGACCTATTAGCAGAAACTAAGGACTGTGATCCTGAATATGATGTAACATATGCGGTAAGTAACAAAAATTTTAGTCAAAGGAATGTAACATGTTTAGTGTTAACACTGTGATTGCAGATATCATACACTAACTCACAAACAGGGTATTATATAGTTCTAGATTGTTTTGACGTCAGTCCTTGTAAGTTCTAAAAAGCAGACACCAGAGCAATCTCAGTGTAAGTATCATAGTACAAATTGAGTACAATAACTGTTTGTTACTTTCTTGTTACTTACTAAGTTTTGTATGAAGATTGATTTAATATTTGTTCTAGGACTTTATAATGTTAAATTGTATATGATGTACCTTAAAGTTTTTACCGAATCCAATTAGCATGCAATATTTTTTCTATGTTGAAAAACAAGTATAAAGTACATAGATATAGACAAAATATACCATTTCAAAATATTTCGGAAGTGCAAGAAACCACAAGGAACATCATGTTACTAATCATACAAGAAAAGTACATGCACTTTAATTAAGCTGACTTTTATTGATATCATTGATTGTGATGCACAGGGGAGGACTTAGTGAAGTACATTTGAATGTTAGAAGAAATTTGGTCTGTGATTCAAATTATAATGAATCATATGGGGTATGTGCATCTTTTATAATATATACATGATATTGTAGAGGAAACCAATACACCATATAATTTTTTTGGAATATTAAAAAATATTGTTGAAAGCAAAAACACAATACTGTAAATTTCAAAAATCATTGCATTGTTTTTATTAACACTAAAATGCAACAGTATTAGGATCGCAATAATAAAAACTTGCATTCATAATTTCCGTAGAGATTTTCCTTCACAAAGTTTTTGCAATCGCATCAATTAGATCTTACATTTTTACCTGTAATCAGAGATCTGCAATAATAAATGCACACATTAATTACTAAATTTCCAGTATATGAATATTTCCAGATACTGAAATTATAGATCTTTCATCTGCTTGTTAACAAAGGTCCTTCCAATCTCCTCCTCAGATCTGCTTCCCTATAACAACACAATGTAGTCTGAAATTTATTGTGATAGGTAATATAAACTGTATGATTAAGGAAATATTGGAATCCAAGGCTGTTTGATTTAATTTTATGGAGATAGGCAATATACATTGTATGTTTAGAGAAATATTGGAATTCCTAGCTGTATGACTTTATTTTTTAAACAGGATGGTGTGTTAACAGTGAAGATCAGTGATAAATGGGGAACGTATGTGATCAACAAACAGTCACCTAATAAACAGATCTGGTTATCATCTCCTATTAGGTAATTAAACAGTTGTCATTTACTGAAAACAAGCAACCAATACACTATGGAATATATAAATATATGAGACATATATTTCAGGACTGCCTTGGTGGTCTTGTGGTAGTGTGTTCGCCTGGAGTGTGGGAGGTCTTGGGTCCCTGCCGGATCAAACCAAAGACTAAGATTGGTATTTGCCGCTTCTTCACTAAGCACGCAGCATTAAGGAGTAAGAGCAAAGACTGGTCAGCTCGGAGTCAGAATAATGTGTCTGGATAAGTGACATATCTTCATGCGGACTGTTACCTTGTGAACTAGCATGTTAAAAATTCAGCTCAGCATGTCGGTCTAGTACAAAGTATGGTTAATATTCATATCACATTAACATGCTCTCGTCCTGAATATGCATATTAATTTGCACTGGACGTTAAGCAGCCATCCATCATCATCATATAGTTCAGGGATAACTTTCATCAACTAAAATCGAAATGACATTTTGAGGAGTTTGGGAAAATTAACAAAAAAGGATCCAAATTGAACATTCAAAATAGAGTAAGGGGAGAAGATGCCAAGGAGAAATTAATAAAGAGCTGCACCATAAGCGCATGATACGCCCATCACATTTTCAAATAAAGTTCCATAACTCCTCAATGTCATATCAGAAATTTATAAAAAAAAAAAGTAAAGGGAGTTTATTTTAATAAATATAAACCAGTCACTGAAGTTTCATGAAAACTGCTCAAGGCATTTTGAGTTGTTGTCCGAAAACTGGAAAATCCCCCTTTTTTTATGAATAAAATCCCATAACCAAGAAACGTAATTTCAAAAATTTATTAAAATCGAAAGGGAGCTTATGTTAATAGATGTAAACAATTCATCAAAGTTTCATAAATATTTGTTACAGCATTTTTGAGTAATTGTTCGACATGTTGACGACAGACGGACGGATGGACAGACAAAAAAAAACACAAAAAAACAAGGACAACACCACAAAGAAAAGAAAAAGGATGAAAAGACAAATATGTCCACATAACAAAACACAGAAGAGCCATAATTGGGCAAAATGAACCCCTCAAAGATCTAGGGATGGACAAGGGTGCAAATTGGCATAAATAACACAGCTTTAACCTTTAGTAAAATTACATAGTTGCTATTCTTAAAGATATGAAAAAAATACAAGTAAATATTCCAGTACAGTTGCACTTGTCACTTAGTGAATATTACCCCCAGGGACTAACCATCTACCTGCTACCTGAGGACTGGATGACTTCTATTGATTTTCAAGATTAGTGGTCAAAGTTCAAGCTAGTCATTGGTCCTTGTATAAAGGTTCAAAACCTTGTCAACACAAAACTTAGTACTGTGTCCCTCAGTATCAAATGAGCATACATCATCATCGACGGTAGGAGATCTTCTATTTAAAGATCCAGACCAAAGTCCAATAATCAGATTTATATTTTATTCTCTGTTTACAGCGGTCCAAAAAGATATGATTTTACAAATGGTACTTGGATTTATTCTCACGATGGAGGAGCGTTACACCAGTTATTAACAGAAGAAATATCCCAAGCTCTGTCTAGTAACATTGATTTCAGTGACTGTGAATACTCAAATCGTTAAAAGGTGGTATAGATTGTTATGTTTTCATTTATATGTTTGTTATTGCATGCAGGTGTGATATCATGTTATTTTGTTATTTTTTACATCCGAATGATATGAAATAAAATCTACTAATTTAAAATTATGTATTTTATTTAGAATTGAAGTCATAATGTTGCAAGTAAATTTAAGTTCACCTGACTCGTAGTGCCATTATTAGCTTTTAACATTACTGGTACTTAGTGTCTGTTGTACGGAAAAATTGTATTCTATGTTCTTGCCAATCAAACAACATTGCTACAGATATTACACATTGAACATGTAGTCAGTTAATTGTGGCAAAAGTAGTTTTCTCAGTTACTGATAATTTTTAACTCAACTGGTCGAAAGGGCCATGTGAAATTTTCCCTTCCATTGCATCCTTCGTCCATAGACTATTCTTAAAAAATCTTATCCTTTGAAACTGCTCAGTGGATTGAAATGAAAAATTGTGTGCTTCATTCTAAGGATTTCTGCTATGGTCAGACTACAGTTTTGGCTAATATCTCAAAAATTATAGCAACTAGAGAAATACAATCAGCTCTATCAACTATCAAAATGTAGAAAAAACAAAAATTTAAACCTGTTTTTGAGTAATTGCCCCTGAAATATTGATTATTAAGTATTTTTGCCCTTCTTGGCTATTGTTTGGAAAACTAAAGGGGTTAGGTTAAAAGTGCAAATTGCAAAAAATATCAGCATTGCAAGTTCTGTCTCTACATGGAAGGTTTGAGAAAAATCTGGAGACCCCAAATGGAGTTATGGCCCATGAAACGGTAAGTTTTTGGCTGTTATCTATTGTAACTGTAAAATGCAAAAATGATCAACACAGTAAAATGTATCTACCCTTGAAAATTGGAGAAAAATCAAAATTCCAGTCATGGGAGTAATTGCCCCTGAAAAATCCAGTTTTTATACGACCGTAAAGGTCGTATATTGGTATGACGTTGGCGTCGTCGTAGTCCGAAGACACATTGGTTTTCGCACAATAACTTTAGTTTAAGTGAATGGATCTCTATGAAATTTTACCATAAGGTTCAATACCACAAAAGAAAGGTTGGGATTGATTTTGGGGGTTATGGTACCAACAGTTAAGGAATTAGGGGCCAAAAATAAGCATTTTTCTAGTTTCCAGACAATAACTTGTGGAACGGTGTCTGTATCTCTCTGAAATTATACCACAAGTTTCCATACCACAAAGGGATGGTTAGGATTTGCTTAGGGGGGTTATGGCTCAAACCCTTTAGGAATTAGGGGCAAAAAAGGGGGAAAAACAAGGGTGTCCTGGTTAATGGACAAATACTTTAGTACAAAACATAATTTAAAGCAGTGTAAAGGAGGTAATTCAAAATACATCATTTGAATTACCTCCCTTACACTGCTTTTAAATTATGTATAAAGTAATGGTTATGAACAATTAAGACAATTTAAAAGCAGTGTAAGGGAGGTAATCCAAATACAACGTTTTGATTACCTCCCTTACACTGCTTTTATTTTATGTTTAAAGGGGTAAATTCAGTAAAAAAATCTCCCATTGACTTTAATGCTAATCTATGTCTTGAATTAAATTTATACCAGATTTACCTTTAGAAATTGGAAGCTTTCATATATCATTCATGAAAGTACAAATGTAGCCCTATCTTTTGCAACAATAAAAACATAGGGTCATGCGGCATTTTTGGGCATTCACATGGCCTTGTTTACAAACACTGTAGATTCGCACTTAATTCCTTTACTGACCCCCATTACTTTTCAACCCTGTAGTAAAAAAATTTAGTACATTCAGCATTCATTTTTTAATTTTTTTTAACTCTAGTTTTGATCCATCTATCAAAAAATATTTATTACAAACATTATCTACCAATCAGAAGAGCACAGGACTTCAGTTTTGTACAGAAAGCTCTCCCCCAAATGGGCGGTCCCTGATGACGTATATTTATTTACTGAATTTACCCCTATAAGGGACTTTTTAACTTCTTTTCCTATTTTTGTTGTATTAATCATGTAATGTATCCAATTTTCAAGTTCCAGTTTCAATACAACATTCATAAATGCTGAACTTGTAAAGAGGGAGGAAAATTTATACTAAAGCCCATACTGCGGCCAATGTATATTTGGTATATAAAGTTGCACATTGACTGTTTTTAAAAGAATGGTGTAAAATACTATGCTTAATAAATATGAATTGTTTTCTGTGTTTGCTTTGATCAGTATTGCAAGTACATCTAGGAACTAAAGTCTTGATGTACTCTTAGTTAAATTTTGCCTTATATGGAAGATTTTAATTAAATACCCTGAAAAAGACCACAAAAAGACTTTTCAAAGGTTTTTAAAGCAGTTTCATACCATAAAAAACAACAATTATGTTTCATTTTACTAAATCTGTGTTTAAATTACTTGTAAATTTCACAAAATGTCATTGATAACCACTCTGCAGAAATTCCTGTTACCCCAACATCAGGATGGTTTCTTCGCCAAAACTAGACGGACAAAACTGAAGTAGAAAAAAGTGCCAAATATGAAAAAAATAAGAATGGGTATGACCAAACTTTGCATTTGGAACATAAAAGTAACAATTTAGAATATTAAAAAGCAATTATTTAACATAGCAATCCAATTACAAACATTTCAACACTAGTTTTATAGATGAAGGGTATATAATAATGAAAAGTTGTCTAGTATTTTTTTTTACTTAAAGAAACGCAATGAATTATGTAAATATAAATGAATATCTTCATACGGTCAGATTATTCGAGTGTTAAAATACTTGAAAAGTGCTTATTTACAACATGATCTACAACTTAACATGGGGAACACTGCTGAAAAAAATACACTATGTCAAAGGGAGGTAATTCTGATTTTCCATATGATTTTACACATTATTAGGAGAAATATGTTCAAATGTGATTTAAAATGGGGAAAATATTCATGCCTTTTAATAATATCATAACTCTCATGTGTAATTTCTATTGTTTCTTTCAATCTGGACACAAAACTGATTTTTTACCATATACCCCATGCTTCCTCCCACAGTACACTCAGAGCATCCTGGAAAGCCGCGGTTAAACATAGAAATTTGTATAAAAACAACTTTAACTGGTTCCAAAAGGCTTCCATTGCATTAATATTTACAGGAAATGAGTTTTGTGATTATTGTGTGGCCTTGAACAAGTACAGTGACAGAGTGCATATTTTCCTATAGGGGTAAATTCAGTAAAAAATCTCCCATTGACTTTAATGCTAATCTATGTCTTGAATTAAATTTATACCAGATTTACCTTTAGAAATTGGAAGCTTTCATATATCATTCATGAAAGTACAAATGTAGCCCTATCTTTTGCAACAATAAAAACATAGGGTCATGCGGCATTTTTGGGCATTCACATGGCCTTGTTTACAAACACTGTAGATTCGCACTTAATTCCTTTACTGACCCCCATTACTTTTCAACCCTGTAGTAAAAAAATTTAGTACATTCAGCATTCATTTTTTAATTTTTTTTAACTCTAGTTTTGATCCATCTATCAAAAAATATTTATTACAAACATTATCTACCAATCAGAAGAGCACAGGACTTCAGTTTTGTACAGAAAGCTCTCCCCCAAATGGCCCGAGAACACAGTTATTTCGTAGTGCATTTCTTTTAGACAATAAATTCAAATTAAAAAAATCGCACCTGCTCTATCTCAAAAAGATTTTTACAGTGTAGTGTACTACTATTGATACAAATAATATCAAAATTATAGAAACTTCTACCAGCTCTAACTCAAAATATTGACAATTCTGTGTTAAGGGGGGCTAAAATTCAGTTTGACAGCTTCAGACATTCTAATTTTTGACCTTTTTTAACTGGACCAAATCACTACTTAACATAAAGATTCAGCACCCAAATTTTTTTAACATGTAATTTCATCCCCTTACTTAATATTTCAAGCATAAAATATCAAGAAATAAATTGGGAAAGTGTATCCAAAAAAAATGCAAGTTATACACTGTTCACACTAGGGACTATATTCGTAGACAACGAAAACCAAAGGACGATAACTGTGTCCTTGGACCTAATAGGATAGAAAGACTTGACCAATTTTAATAAAACTTTGCATGACCTAAGCTTATGCAATTATAAGATAGTTGGCCAAGTTTCATGGCCATAGGATATATATTATAGAAACTAGGGCCATTTTAATATTGAAATTTGGTGGTTTATTTTTGACGTTTAAATCAAATATTTTCAACTGTCAAGATTTTGGCCTAAAAGAATTAAATATTGCAAAAATTTGCTTTTTAAATACTCTTGAATTTAATATAATAAGTATTAAAAGCAACGGAACACTCATTTGATTTATCAGATTTATTACAGTTATTCAAAAGTCAAATTTATATGAGCCTGTGCCTGAAAATAGAGATTTTCGAATTAAGGGAAGCCTTACATAAACATGCATTTTTTTCAACCAATTTGAAGTTTTTGAAGTTTTTTAACCATACATTATTCTTCCATATATATTAAATGTACTTTAAATGTAAAGAAAAGTTACAAAAAGCATACCACATGAGTATAAAATGGTCTTAGGCCATGTAAGACTGAGAATTATTTAGAGTTGATTTAGGCCGTAGCCCATATTTACATATAAAAATGCACACAGAGGCTATAAGAAATTGAAATTTGTTACTTTTTGCTCATTTCTATGCTAAGATGTCATGATACAAGAAGTCTAATTGCAAAAGGACTCTTGAATTCAACTTTTTTTTGCAGACAGTATGGTCTAATGACCAGTTTTTCACTTTTCAATGGAAAACTTGCATGTAGTTTTAGTCTCATTTGGCATATATTTGAACCACTTACTATCCTAAAGAAGAAAATTATGGTAGCATATCAAATGAATAGAGTGTACTGATCATTGTAAAGTGTTTTTTTTTACAGATTTAGTGAAATATTTGTGATGGATTACAGATTTTATGTACAAAGCTCTTCACATTTCACATACATCAAACAGGCCGTTTAACCAGGAACATAAATACAAATATTCTGCACATTTTTTCTGTGATAATCTACTTTTCTCTAGATTCCGAGTTCACAAATGGTTAATTAAATTTGATTTAAGCATAGAAACACAAATATCAGGAACATAAAAAGCTGTCAGATAGAAAGTCAGCATGGCTCTTAGGCATAAAATGGAAACTGCTTTAAAATGCTTATTTTAGCCGTATAATGCCAAAATGGGACATTTTAACAGAATTTCTGTCAAACAAAGATGTAAATCCTTTACTTTTATTGAGTTTGACAAATTGAAACCAGCAAACCATTCAGGAAAGTTGCCAAAGTACAGAATCTATATTTACAGAATTCATCTCTTAGGCCCGAGAACACAGTTATTTCGTAGTGCATTTCTTTTAGACAATAAATTCAAATTAAAAAAATCGCACCTGCTCTATCTCAAAAAGATTTTTACAGTGTAGTGTACTACTATTGATACAAATAATATCAAAATTATAGAAACTTCTACCAGCTCTAACTTAAAATATTGACAATTCTGTGTTAAGGGGGGCTAAAATTCAGTTTGACAGCTTCAGACATTCTAATTTTTGACCTTTTTTAACTGGACCAAATCACTACTTAACATAAAGATTTAGCACCCAAATTTTTTTAACATGTAATGTCATCCCCTTACTTAATATTTCATGCATAAAATATCAAGAAATAAATTGGGAAAGTGTATCAAAAAAAAATGCAAGTTATACACTGTTCACACTAGGGACTATATTCGTAGACAACGAAAACCAAAGGACGATAACTGTGTCCTTGGACCAAATGGGCGGTCCCTGATGACGTATATTTATTTACTGAATTTACCCCTAAAGAAATGCATATTTATAAAGGAAGACCAGTAAAAATATCTGCAAATGTTGCATCTTTTTTATTTTACAAAAAAATCCATATGAAAGATTTGACACCATATTTCAAATTCTATTATAAAATAGATTAAGTTAGCACTATGGTAAATTCAAATGGGTAATTATGGTTGCAAACTCCATTGGAAATTTGAATTGAGATTATGACCATATCTTGAGGGAAAGAATTTTTTTGGGGGAAAAAGGGGGGGGGGGGGTAAAAAGAAATTGTGGGGTGTCAATTTTTTCTCATTTCAGATTTCAGAAATTAAAAAAAAATTCTTCAAATATTATTTTTTTGGCAAAAAAAAAGTGGGGGGGGGGGGGGATGTTTAATACGCAGCAGCATAGTGTATTGCAAAAAAGCTAAAAAAAAAAGGGGGGGGTAAATTTTTTTTTTTGTGGGGGGGAGGGGGGGTCAATTCGCAACAGCAAAGTGTATTGCACAAAAACAAAAAATTGAATATAAATTCAAATCATATAACCAATTCTATGTTCTTTGACTACAGTTATTCTGTCTCAGAAACCTTTTATGTGTCGATTTTTTAATTACAATCCAAATTCAGACCTGTATTAAGCGCGAATATTGCGTCCATTTTTGCCCCAACTGTTCAGGGTTGGACCTCTGCTTTTATCATATAAACTACAGGAGCTAGGTTAAAAGTTATTGCGTAAATGATCAGAATGACAAGATCTTTCTACCCTGAACAATTCAGAAAAATCTTTTAACCTGTTTTGGAGTTATTGACGCTGAAACAAAATTGTTTTCAATTTTCCAATTTTCACATATTAGCAAGGTTAGAAGTTTAAATTGCAAGAATGGTCAGCATGACACTTTATCTGTTCTGAAAATATCAGAAAATCTGAGAACCTGTTTATGAGTTGTTGCCCCTGTTCTACTGTTTTTTGCTGTTTTGTCTGGTATATAAAATCTTGCTCATTGTTGAAGGCAGTACAGTGACCTATAGTTGCTTACTTCTACATCATTTGGTTTCTGGTGGAGAGTTTAATTAGCAATCATACCACATCTTTTTTTTATATAAGAGCTAGCTTAAATTTTTCTCATTAGTTGAGCAATGCAGGCACAGGTGCGCTTCTATTTTCAGTTACTTGTTGTAGAATGATGTTTCCTCTGTAAGTGTTATAAATTTGTCAGGTACTTGTATTACAGTGGAAGAAAGGATTTTCTCAAAATTAAAGTTGTCATTTATTCATGATGAAACAGTGTTTTCGAAATTAGTAATTTAAATTGTTAGGGCCTGGGTGGCTGATTGGTTTAAGTAGTTCATCTACAATGACCACTAGCCTGTCAATAGTGTGATGGTTGTGAGTTGGAAAACTAGCTCGAGGCAAGGTGAGTTAGAGACTCTGATTTTAATTGACTAGGATCGCAGGCTTTCCTGCTGAAGGTCGATGGTTATCATCAGGTAATCCAGTTTCTGACACCAATTAAAACTGGCTGCCACAATGTGGCCAAGTGGCATCACAAAAGACAAATCAATCAAGTTATCAAGAAAGGTCTTTCATCAGTTGGTGTGTTTATATTTGTTAGCAGAGGCGGGTTTATGGGGGGGGGGGGGGGGGGGGGGGCTCGGGCCCCCCCTTTTTGGGGTAAAATTTGGTTGATAATATAGGGAATCACTGAAGCATGACTGAAGTGGGCCCCGTCTTAGGCAGTCAGTGGGCCCCCACTTATGAAAATTTCTGGATCAGCCACTGGTTAGTTATTTGTTTTGAAAAGGTGTTTCTTAGTCAGTGTTATTAGTTTGTCAGTAACTCAATATAAAAAGGTGTTTCCTCAGCATGTGTGTGATAAATATGCCATTTACTTGTAGAAATGTTTTCCTTAAGCAATAAAACTAAACAGTATGAAAGGTATAGATGTAGAAAATATCTTTAAAAACAATAGTATATATAATAAACAAATGCTAGTATAAATGTTTATAAGTTTATCACAGTTTGTATGATGAAGTCCATGTATTTCTCCAAATAATAGTAGCATCTGTTTTTTTTATATAGAATGCCTTGAGATCAAACAAGCTTCTCATAAGGCAATTATTCCATATTCCCATAAATTAGGGTCTGGATGGGCGTCCTTCGTTTCTGTATTCCTCAAATTTTTTTTGGCCATTTTTCTTTATTCTGTATTTTTTGCCTATTTCTTTTCATTATATTTTTGCCCTTTATAATGAAAACTTTTTAACGTTATTCTCTATCTGTATACCCCAACCAGACCCTCATAATGGCAATGTTACTACATATTTAATGTTGTTCAGTCTTGAATGGATTGTAGCCATTTTGTATAAACATCTGAAGTGGTCTGAATAATCGATCTAGAGGTATCTTATCATCCCAATACAACCATTCCCAACCTGGTAAAAAACAAAAAAATAATAATCACATGTGTCTATGTATCCATTTAACAGAGTAATGAAATCTTACTGCTGTTAAATTTGCTTTCTGTAATCGGCAATTTGTAAATTTTTCCTTTGATCTTACTGCCTATTATTTTTCTACATCATGAACAGTACCTGATACTCAAAAATATTAGGCAATGACATCGCGTCAATTTATCAATGAAATGCAGGCGACATAATTTATACAACCGAACAAATATCACAACGTTTTGTACACGTAAAAATAGTTTTACTTTCTATTTCATTTTATTTCACATTTTCAGACAAAAAAACATATTGTTAAGACAAAATTGCCAATAAAAAGAATAATGGTTTTTTATTTTTTGATACGGACTTCTTCAGTTCGAATGCAGGCTTGATTGATATTCTTGCTGATAAAGTCACTTTCAAAAACAAAAATGCCATTATTCTTTAGCTAACTATATGTGAACTTTAGCATTTAAAATATATAAAAGTTTTGATTGCCCATGGATGAAAGTTGCTGTAAAGCATGTGCACATCACTGAATAGTTCTTTGACTCAACAAAGTTTCTATAACTATCATGTCAAAGGTTAGATGTCCTGACTTACAGAGAGTAGAATAAAAAAACTTAAGATGTAATTATATCAGATAGTTTATGGTATTTTGTCATGAAAATAACAAGAAAACTTCGATTTTTATACATTAAGAGTGAACCAATTGAAATTTAAATAATCTTAACAGAGAAGCAAATAAAATCCCTGCCAGATTATCTTTTTTTGAGGCGAGTCTTAAGCCAGAGATATCAAACAACAGCTATGGCTACTCTTCCTGTAGTAGAGAGCACTTTTGAATAAGAATAAAATAATATCATGTGCCTGTTTTATGTCCTAGCCCATTAATGTTAGTTGTCATCATGTTGGTAGCTTGACTTTAACAAATTTTGTCCACATTTGCTAGCAAGTGATTTCCGAATTTTGCAAAAAAAAGCAAAACTGTCAGTATATAAGGTTGTGTGCACATTTTTTCCAATATTAGGTTAATTAGGGAGCTACCATTTGATTTTTATGGGGGGGGGGGGGGGGGGGCTAGGATGAAAAATTTTGTCCTGCATTTATTTTTAGTTGTTATCTCTGTCCTGCCTTTTTATTTTTCACTCTATTCGGTCCTGCTTTTTTTTATTAGTTTATCCTGACTTTTTATACATAAATTGTCATCCTGCCTATTTTTTTACCAAGTTGCTCATCCTGCCTTTTTTTTTTACTCAAAACTCCTGTCCTGCCTTTTTTTCAAATTTCATCCTAGCCCCCTTAGGATTTAAACCTGGTTATCAAAACTTGTGCATGTTACCCAAGACTACTACTCATATGCTACTTATTCTTTAATACACTGTTGTATAATGATTAGAAAATGTTTATAAGGCTAAACAAGTATATTGACACATGTATCTAAAGTATAACATTAACCTTGGACTTAACATTACATATTTAGTACCAGCAGTAACTTACCTTCACATTTTTCAGGCTCCATATTTTTTGGTTCGCGTAAAATAGTTGTATCCACTTCTCCCTGCATAAATATTTCTATATAATGATAGTTTTCCTCTGGTATGATACAGTTCATTACTGTTACAGATTTCATATTTTTCAGTTTGACACCAGTCTCCTCTTCTGTTTCCCTTATGGCACATTCATCCCATTCTTCCCTGTTTGATACAAACACATGTTTAAAACTTAAGTCTTGCTTTTCTTGTTCGGAAGTGAACCTAATAATTTATATCTCTTGACATCGTATATTAATATCCCAGATTTAACGTTAACAAGCACCAGATGGGAATTTCGACAATAAACTGTCTCTTTTGTGATGCTCTAAGCCTAATATTTGAAAATCCAAAATCTCATGAAGAGCTGTCAAAATCACAAAGGACCAAAATGACCAATTAAATCTGAACAAGGAATCAGAGCTGTGCACGAGGGAGATTAATTCCATAATTTAAAATGATTTCCATTTTTTTTTACAATAAATTTCAATAAAACAATATCCATATTTTCATTTCCTGTACCGAAATACGGTAAACATGCAGTCTGTTGTGTCTTGTCTTTTTGGTTTCTTTAATTCACAATATGATTAGGATACAGATCCTGTATCCCTGCTTTGCTTACAAGGGTCTGAAAACGATTTGTTCTTCCAGAGATTTAGGTCTCTGATGTCTCTGATTCTTCTTTCTATTTAAAAGACCTTTTGGGATCCACTGGTGTTGTAATGATTGATACACACTTCACATTACAAAAAAATTAATCAATGTTTTTTTTGTTTTTTTTTTTTTTAGTATTTGCTGTCTATTTGCATTACTTTAACGATGGCATCAATATTTCTTTGTTTTCTAGCAATGTGCAGTTTATTATCCATATCCGTATACTAGGATTTTTCAGTATACGGACATGGATAGTAATATTGAATATTGATGCCATCGTTAAAAACGTTAATAAAGTAATACAAATAGACAGGAAATACTAAAAAAAAATCTGTTTACCGAGTCCCCCCTGTGTTTAAATTTTGGAGACAGAAATTTAATTGGCTGAGTGAATGGTGGGGCATTCGAATGTATACTGCACAGAGGAAAATGTGTATGTTGGATATGGGTCTCTCATAAAGAGTTGTCTGCAAAAATTCTTTAAAATCCCTACACGAGGCATCAGATTTAAATCAGAGTCTGCTTAGACGTGGCTGACTGGTTGCAAATTTATAAATCCTGCACAGCCAAAGTTGGGCATATGTCTAGCATCAGTGTACTGCCGGATTGAAGAGATCATGGTGACCACACTTCTATAAGCTAGTTATTTCCCAGCAACAATAGCATGTAACTATGGTAGTTGAATGAAATTAACTTTAAACATTCAAAACTAAAATTCAGAAATGTGAGCAGTCAGATTATGGTTTTTAGAAAAAAAAATAACTTAAAAGCCACACGTTTTGCCGTAATGAAAAAGATGTTTTTGATGCTTTAAGTTTGACTAAAAACTTATAGCAAATATTTTTGGCTGTCAGACCTTTAAATCTTCGAGGAAGAGCAATTTAGTTAATTTAAAGAGTTAAGTGATTACATGTAGATGAATTGTTATATGCCAACTGACCCCTACACACTGGATGTGTAAACTGTACACAGAAAAAATGTCTCGCAACATGAGATATACGAATTAATCTTGTGACTTAAATCGTCAGTCGACTCCTTAAAGGACCGGGTTCCATTAGAATGTGATTAAACCCAGGCGATATGGGATCTAAGGCAGAGAAAACAGATGGATTTTCAGTTTTCTTTATGTGAGCCAACATTTAGTAATGGTTGAAGGAGAAGGCTCTGGCTTCATTTATGTTGACTCATGTGTACCATAGGGTCAGACCTGGGTCCCGATCTTTTCCTCTACTACATCATTGATATGCCAGAGAGAATGCGATCTAGAATAAGACGGTTTGCTGACCATACTTTCATGTACCTCACTCATAACATCAGATGCAGATACCACATCACTGCAGCAGGACCTGAATAAACTAGCAGACTGGGAATGTGATGGTGTGAGCATTCTTGTTTCGTTTTTGCAAATATCTTGAAAACTATAATAGAAATTAATTGTCTAAAACGAAGTAGATTTTACTTTATTTTCTCTAATAATAAAATCTCATTCGAACTATAAATTAACTTTTATTTTGTCTAATAATAAAATCTAATTCGAACTAGATTAAACATTTTATTTTATCTAATAATACACAAACAAATATGTTTATTCAATTCTATATATAAAAAGAGATGTATTCTGTTATGGTATTATGTATGTTTCTGATATAATAATTTATATTACACTTAGTTTCTCTGTTTTTTTAAGATAATGTTCGTTGTTCTTTGTAACGTAAGTCAACAAGTCTTTCATCATGTTCCGTGGAAGATGCTGTACATTTCTCAAGACTAAGTGTCCTTTCCATCTTCATACCATCATGCAATAGTTCTTGGTGGATGAAAGGGATTGTAACCCTGAGTAATCACCAACTCAAGGGGTCGAAAACATTTGTTAGCGTGCACAAAATTGTCCCAGTCTAGCCATTGCCATCCTGAAATACACATAGGATAACCTAAACATGGCTGAAGATTTTGACATTGATTTCTAATTCTCATTTAATTCAAATCTATAGCCTTAAACTATCACTTCATAATTAAGTAATATACCTAAGAATGCATTGTTGATATTTAATTAGGTACAATAATTTACTCCGTTATGAAGACATCTAGAGTGTCGATGTTCAAAAATAGAACATATCAAAATGCCACATTGCTTACGTTAAATTTAGAGTATTTTATTACGGCCCGGTACCCAGGACCTTTCCATTATCACACCCTATTACCGGCTATAGGTACTTCAGATACAAAAGGATCGGTGTTCCCGATTGTTATTTAATCAATACGAGTGCCTTTGTAATGCAATGGTTTTGCAATCGTGCACAGCAGATTTTAACATGTATTATCTTTCAAATTGGATCTGCCGTCCAATTTGAAAGATAGCCAGTAAAAGGGTATGATAATTGAGTCAAGTTTTCATGATTTTAATTTACCGGCACTTATGATCGGTTAAAATGAACGCGACTGAAGTCAACACGATTTATTCACACCTTCCCGTCCGTTTAACAATTTGTTTGGGTCTATTTTTCATTGATTCCCTCTTGCATCTTTCGATGTATAGCAATATTTAGGTCACTGTGACATAACGATTTATACAGTGTTGTCTCGGTCAACTCAGTAATTATGATTACGGTACCTTCTCCTTTTAATTTACAAAAATGTCATTGACGAATTCTTTAACAATCTATTTTTTTTTTCACTTGATAATTGGGATTATGCGACAGTTTGGGTCTTTTCCTACCAATCTCGATCGTACAATCTTTATAACTGTTTTTTTTTTTTTTTGTGCATTAATGCTTCCTGACCCAATCAATACCTGCTTTGCATCAAAAGACTACTGACTACAAGTAAGCCAATATCCCAGACTAAAATGCTTATGATAATACTAGTGGACGGCTCCGATATATCGATATATCGATAGCTTGTGTTATTTTATTTTATTTTACATTCACATTTTTCAGGTTCTAGATTGACAGGCTCTGATTGAAATGTAAATCTACCCGGGAGCTTGCACCATTGAAGGTAATGGAGGGCGAGCTGGACTCAGTGACAACAAAAAAAAATAAAAATTGAAAATAAGTCACTGAGACCAGGGCTGGACTAAAACCTAGGTATTTGTATTTTGAAACACATTCCACATTTATATTCTCAAATGTGAATATCTGTTCTACATGTCTAAATAAAATTGAGAATGGAAATGGGGAATGTGTCAAAGCGACAACAACCCGACAAAAGAGCAGAAAACAGCCGAAGGCCACCAATGGGTCTTCAACACAGCGAGAAAAAGTCTGCCTGCTTTGTTGAAAATCAGAACCTTTGTCTTATTAGTGACACTGAGACACCAATCTTTGCAAAAATTATCAAGCATTTTCAGCTTTTCTTGTAGTCCTTCAGCTGATGTAGATAATAAAACAATATCATCGGCATACATTTAACTATGCAGATCTTTGTCATTGCTATTAACTGGGTCTCTAGTCTTTGTAAAATGCTGTAACTATTTAACACGGGAGAGCTCAGATTAAAGTTAATTATTCCAATAAATTTTCGCAAATTGTTCGAATTAGTAATTAGTTTTGTTATGACTCACAGATCGAGATTACTTAAAAGGAGGTGGGCTGAGATATCAAAAAGGTAGTTTCCATGTAAGATAAGATAAGATAAGATAAGATAAGATATTTTATTGGTTTAAAATCCAAAATTATAGGATTGTTACCAAGACATATACATAAACATACAAACATATATCTGACCACATTTATAAACATTGTATATATATATTTGTATATCCCCTCCATGTATGAGGATCTGGATTGGGGAGGGGGTGTTGTGTTGGGGGTGATGGTCCTTCATTTCTGTATTCTTTAATTTTTTAGACCATTTTTTCCAAATTTTCCCATTAGTATCTATTCTTTATATTCTAGCACCTCATTATTTTCTTTTCTTTATTTTTTTGGTCCATTTTTCTCTATTCTTTATATTTTTTGCCCGTTATTCTCTATTCTGTAAACCCCCATCCACACCCTCATGTATCTGTCCCATGTCAGTAACCTCGTTAACGGTGGTCGTCTGTCATATCTCAAATCATTTTTTGTCATTTATGTAAATATGGTGACGATGACAGATCTTTGATAGTTATACTCTATGTTCTATTTATTTACAACATTTCAAGAAACAGGGCGATTTAGAAAATAGTTTCTCGGTTAAAGTACAGTGACAAATATTTGTTTGTACTCAAGTCACGAACAAATTGATAATTAAAACAATAGGTAGAATCTGCAAAGGATGTCTACTGAGGTTTAGAGCGGGATTTGAACTACCAAATGGAAATAAGATTGTCAACGTATATTTGTTCCGCCTAACAGAGGTTCCACTATTAGAGGTATGCTGAATAAGAACAGACATTTTGTATTGCAACAGCTAGGTCACCTATAAAGGGAACCCTCAGGAGTGTTGCAATGCATTTTTAGAGTGCAGAGAACATAGTACTCGCCCTGCACGAGGCACGATCGAATTAAACGTCCCAATTCCGATCGGACGTGGCGGAGTCTGCGTATTTATACTTCTCGCACAACCAATCAAATAGATACCCTATTTTAGCAGGTGATTTACTGCCGGGCGTGAGAAGTGCAAGGATGACCATATGTATACCCAATTCAACCTATGTGATTGGGCGATATATAGAGAATATGATATGAGTTGTTTTTCAATCTAATTAAAATTCATATCTATATTAACTCGCGTGCTCGTATCATATGAGGATATCGAAATTAGAGATCCATATTTTAATTAGATCGGTTGTTTTAAATTTTGAATTAAGCATATATATTTGAAAGATCCTGAGCCACTCTGCAAAACCGTACCTCTTTTGTAAATTAAGAATAATCTTTATTGTCGTAAAGCATATAAATGTGAAAAACAAACTACAAATTAAATAAATATATATAATAGTAAATAATACACTGGTCGACACATCTGTTCTCATCTGTCATAAAATCGTTTGGTCAAGGTATTTATAAACAAAAGACATTGTTATAGCCAGATGACCTACATTCTCATGTATCAGTTTTCGTAGCGGGTGTACGAAATATCGAGAAAAAAAATCAATGATTATAGTATTTGTCTATTGTTCATAATTACCTTGACCAAACGATTTGACAGGTACCTTAATTATATATGTTATTGTCCAGAAAAATTGTTAACCGTTTGTTATTAATTGCCCGGAAGGACTTCTTGCGGTAGTGGTTACTTTGTATGATATTCATTTTAAAACTTTTTATTCTTAAGCGATAATTGATATCTTCATCATCCAATCGATTATTTCCTGTGTGTGTGCCTCAAGATGAATAAGCGTGTTGATAACACATTTATAATATAATCCTTCGTTTTGTATAAACGAACTATATATACAATGTTGCTTTGATAGGATTAAAAGCAAAGACCGGGAAAGAGGGAAGTGACATTATTTGTTTCGCTTTTCGTGTGTTAGTTTTTATTGTTAACAAATATGACTGAAGGCATTTTGGAATTTGGAAGAGCATTATATATAAACACTTCTGACGTATTAACCGGTGTTGTGAGAAATAATGCATTATCCAGCGGACGATCTCTTCTGCAAGTTATATGGGATCTTAGACTCGGCAGGGAGGACCTTGTTAGTTCCCCTCTTTTCCCGGTCATTTTGTCAGTAGCATTTTATTTTTCACTCTGTACACCATTTATGATTGCGGATATATACGGAAAAAAATGGAAATGGATTCAAAAATACAAAATTCAAACTGACAAAGAAGTTACACTCGACCAGGTATTTGATACATTAAGCCTAACTTTTTGGAATCATGTGCTTTTTATCCTCCCTGCCGCAGTCGGACAAATGATATGGACACCGCCTACACCACTTCCAGAATTGGCACCAAGCTGGTTTGAATTTATATGGCAACAGATTGCTAGTTTAGTAGTATTCGACTTTCAATACTTTGTTTGGCACTGGACCCACCACAAGGTGAGATTTCTCTATAGACATATCCATTCTGTACATCACAGGTACCATAGTCCATTTGTCTGGGTCACACAGTATCTTCACCCATGGGAACTCGTCACCGTTGGGTTCTTGACAACTACAAATACGTGGTTTTTCAAATGCCATCCAATGACAACATGGTCGTACATGCTTTTGAGCATCGTGGTGAGTGTAGAAGCTCATATTGGTTTTGATCTTCCTTTCTGTTTCAATAACATCCTTCCTTTTGGGATGATTGGTGGAGCTCCTAAACACGACATGCATCATCTGAAGCCGCTAACCAACTTCTCTCCGTTCTTTAATCACTGGGACAAGACGTTTGATACATTTTGTCCACCGATGAAAGCAGGAGGCGTCCGACCAAAAAATCTAGTTGAATACGAGCGTCGAACAAAAGAAATCAAGAAAGTATGCTGATGATATTGAGAAGATTCGTTTGTTTATGTTGTCTTTTTTTAAAAGGGTACTTTTTTCTTTTTATTTCTTTTTACCTATTTAATATTCTATTATGTGTTAGGTTAGTGTGTGATTTTTTGTTGTTGTCAAATATTTTGTTATTAAGAGATAATTTTAATAGGTCAGTATTTTATGAACTATGTAGACTTTAATTGTATACATGATTGTTTACTATAAGATTTAAATATACTCTTTGTATATACAAGGAATTTAAATATACTCTTTGCATTGGGTGGTCAATATTGTTAATCGCCTTTTGTTTTATAAAATTTAAACAAATCAATAATCTTCAGATGGGATAATATTTGGGCCGAAAGATGTGACATAAAAAAAAATCCGGGTGATAATGCAATTTAACAATTACTACAAAACAACATTATCATTTGTCAAAATAAGCAGTAACTGTACATGTTATATTGTATTTTCTTTTAAATATCGAGAATATTAACAATACTCTGCTCACATTCCATAGCTATACAAGGGTGTTTTTTTAATTAAAATAATATTCCAATAATAATTTAATAACTCTCTTCTATTCTGAAATGCCCGCTTGATAATTTCCACAAGGAAAAATATTTGAGCATTTCATGAATCAGTAAATTCTTTCATACGAATAGACGTTGGTATGTATTAGAATATTAGACCCATAGGGATTTACCACTTGTTATGTATTTCCCAAATGTCAATATAAAGAGGTTACATGTTTATATTGAATGAATACATAATATATGTACTTTACAAATGAAGTGTGAACTACGGTTGCCTTCTGTGGAATTCTTTTGTAGCTATGACTTAAACTTTTCATTAATGAATTTAAAGTTAGTCTGATCCTTTTAAATCGGTATATATATATATAAAAATATAATATTGAAATAATAAATATGTATATATATATATTTATTACTTCAATATTATATTTGTCTGAACACATGCATTTTTTATTGTAATTTACGACGCATACGCGTTGGTGTCAGTCATATTCAGTTTCAATAGTAAAAAAAAAAAACGCTAACTTTTTTCAAGTAGAATTACTATCCATGACTGTTTCCTCACACGGGTTTATTTTTATAATTTTTATTAAGTTTGTGATACAAGTATTTGCTATGCTTGAAAGCGTAAACGTTTCTGCGTAAGGGCGTAACTTTTGATTTATTAGTTACTAGATTTTTCATATTTGCCACAAGAGCTTTAATATAGCTTTTTATATATTCTATTTTAAGCATAGAATTGTATACAGTCAACATTTGACAAATAAGGTTTCACTTATTACTTTTATTAATTATATGATTGAATATTCTCAGTTCATTGTTTACGAACTTTTATTTTTAATTTATATATATTATCATGTATTATGAAACTGGTTTCATATTTGTGTTTAAGTATGAATTTTTTCATGACGTTTAAATAATTTACATAGAAGTGTTATCATTCACCACAGCAAACGATGCAGGTTTTGGCAAGTAAATATTCAAAAGATATTATTTAATGAACATTCTTACATGCAGTAATGTTTTTTTTAGAAATCATTTATGATGAATGTGAAATTATAACAGTGAACATTTTCTAAATAGTTTATTAAAACGCACCCAGAGAAAGTGCAACAACTACTGGTTTGTTCGGTATTGAAACAGTTTTGACTTTAAAAAAAAACCGAATGATTATTACTTCTGTGTATAAAATTAAATACATTGGCTTTATCGCCTTAGGAGAACCAATTTATTCTTTAAAAAACTGAGCAAATAAATCTGCTTGACACTTAAATCATGGCTACTTCACATATGACGTTTCTTTTATCGAAAACTGATAAAAGTAGTCTTAGATACTCAGGTATTTTTGTATATTATCATTGTGTATTATGTAATTAACACTTCAGATGACGTTTCTAAGTGGAAACTGATGGAAGTACTATTTAACTTTATGAATTATATGAACTTATTTTGTTGTAACAATACTTCAAATGACGTTTCCTGTCGGAAACTGATAAAGTATTCATTTTGTAACAGGAAGAAAAATTAAGACGTTTGTTGTACAAACTTTAAGGCCTAAATACATTTACATGTTTATGAGGCCCAAACCAATTGATTTAATTTTCATAGAAAATAAACGATAAAAATCACATTTTAACACCCCCCTTTTATGCCATCCACATCCTTGGGCATGTGGTAAGGTTGGTTGCTCAACTTTATATAGATATACACAGTATACAGTATTTGATATCACAGGGGCATTATTTGTCGATCAAATGCAAATGAAATTTAAAAAACCTACAGCTTTGCGTGGTATAAAATGAAAAAGAACATTTACCAAGGGGCAATCATAAATAATGTCATAAGAAGACCAGATAACATAATGACAAAAGATAAAAGGCGCCGACGGGATGTATGACAAACTGCATGGTCTTCCTTCAAAACATGTCACGGAAATGAAATATTGAGAACCACGTAATCAATGCAAGAATCTTTTTTTGTAACTCTATAGAGAAAGGGTATTCTCAATTAGACATAGATTATGTATAGTTGTAATGATATTTCCTTCATTTTCACTCTATCATTTATTTTTAAAAAATTAAAAAAAAAAAAAAGGATTTGGACACAATTTCTACTTTTCCAAAATTTGAACCCTTCTCAACAGTCCGTGAATTTATAACGCATTCATTTTGCATTGCGAAAATAGATCAACGTTTATTCTTATGATATGTTGGTTGTAGTTATTTATGTTTATGTTGTACACATATTTGCTTGATTTTTATTGACTGACCTATTTGCGTTTTATAATTGTATAAATATATATATTTAACATAAGTTATGCCAATAACAAAATTTGATTGTTTATTTTTCTCTCTAGATCCCTGGAATCTGAGTAGACTTCATATAAAGCATTTTCCAATGACGATTCCAGGGAAAAAATAATATACATGTATATGTTGCTGGAATCTGAGCAGAGCATTTCTCATATGAGGCGTTCTGTCATGACGATTCCAGGGAAAATGACATACATACATAGTATGTCCAATAACTATAAAACATTTTGTCATGACGTTTTACTGTTTTAATGTGAACTGAACAAAGTGTATAGCGCCTTTTTTTTTTGTATTTCCATTGTGTTTGATAAAATGATTATGAGCACTTTACACTTGTATGATACATATTTCTCACTTTATATTTGATTGATATAGACTGAGGTATTAAATAAACAACAACGCAAAATTTCTATGATTCATATGTTTTTTACATCAAATAATAGCATCACATTAAGAAGTCCTGGAAATGGACTGAACTTTGATAGCATGTATACAATTAATTAGATGTGTGGTTAATTGTTTATATATCATGACAAAATAATCATACTGTGAAACTAAGCTAGACGTATTATTGTAACATGCTAAATTTAACAACAAGTTTCAAGTTGAAACATATACAATCTATGTGATTTAACTGTTGAGGAGAAATTTTAACTGATAAAAATAAATATGTGATAAAACATCTACAGTTATTTGATTTACATTTTCATTGCATAGCACTTTTTATCCTTTACCATCATTTGCCGCCCGTCGTCCGACTTCAACTAAAAAAATAACAAAACCTCCAGGACTATTGGAACCTACACCAGTACCAGCTTTAATTCTTAAGTGAAGTCCGAGGACCCTGTCATCAAACCAACTCGACCGTGACCAATACCTAACCTTTGCTATGATACTTTTATTCTGTCCATTTAAAGAAATGGTGGATTACCCCTCCACCCATGAAATATGGTCGTCTCTGTTTTTCTACAAGTCAACTGCAAAATGGCAAAAAAAAAAATCGAAAAAAAATCATATGATTAACCAATTGCTACCAAATTAAAGTTACATGATTAATTAATCAAATAATCTTTAAGAGTTGTGGTTGGTGACTTCATAAACATTCAAACCCGCTGCATTTTTATACGGCCGTTTACGGGACGTATTATGGTATACCGTTGTCCGTCTGTCCGTCCGTCGTCAACATGTCGGACATTAACTCAAAAACGCTTTAACCAATTTGCATAAAACTTTGGTGAATTGTTTATATCTATTGACGTGAGCTCCCTTTTGTTTTTTATAAATTTTAGATTTTACGCTTCCGAGTTCTGGGGTTTTATTCATTAAAAAAGGGGGATTTTCCAGTTTTCGGACAATAACTCGAGAATGCTTTCACCAACTTGCAAGAAATTGTGGTGAATTGTTTATATCTATTGACATAAGCCCCCTTTCGATTTTTATATATTTTAGATTTTATGTTTCCGAGTTAATGGGTTTTATTCATAAAAAAAGGGGGACTTTCCAGTTTTCGGACAAAAAATCAAAAATGCTTTCAGCAGTTCATATGAAACTTTGGTGAATTGTTTATATCTATTGATGTAAGCTCCGTTTCGAATTTTATAAATTTTTCATTTATCATTTCTGAATTATGGGGTTTTATTCATTAAAAAAGGGGGGATTTTCCAGTTTTCGGACAATAACTTCAGCAGTTCTTATGAAACTTTGGTGAATTGTTTATATCTATTGATGTAAGCTCCGTTTAGAATTTTATAATTTTTTCATTTATCATTTCTGAGTTATGGGGTTTTATTCATTAAAAAGGGGGGATTTTACAGTTTTCGGACAATAACTCAAAAATGCTGTCAGCAATTCTCATGAAACTTGGCGAACTGTTTATATCTATTGATGTAAGTTCCCTTTACATTTTCATAAATTTCTAATATGACATTGATAATTAATTGAACTTTATTTGTTTATGGTCTGACAACAGATTTACTAAGTATTGCGCAACAGCACATTGTATTGCACAACAGCAAGAAATCTTTAATTGAATATAAATTCAATTCATATAACCAATTTCAAGTTCTTTGACTACATTTATTCAGAAACCTATAATATGTCAAATATTTAATTACAATCCAAATTCAGACCTGTATCAAGCTTGAATTTTGTATCCATTTTTGCCCCAACTGTTCACGGTTGGACCTCTGCGGGCGTATCCAGCTGCGCTCAGCGAAGCAGTTTTTGTGCACCTGTCCTAAGTCAGGAACCTGTTGTTCAGTGGTTGTCGTTTGTTGATGTGATTCATAAGTGTTTCTCGTTACTCGTAGATTAGATTAGACCGTTGGTTTTCCTGTTTGAATTGTTTTACACTAGTCATTTTGGGGCCCTTTATAGCTTGCTGTTCGGTGTGAGCCAAGGCTCCGTGTTGAAGGCCGTACTTTGACCTATAATTGTTTACTTCTTTTTACACATTGTGATTTGGATGGAGAGTTGTCTCATTGGCACTCATACAACATCTTCTTATTTCTATGGCTACATCAATACACATAGTTTGGTTCCAATATTCTTCAAAAGTATAGTCCAAATGTTATCTCATAACTTACTTAAAAATGATACCCTAAACATCTTCACAATGAACTATTTCAGATTTTCTTGTGCTCATCTCCATAGATGAAGATATTCGGGAGCCCGTGAGTAATACATTCATATATTGTTACTCTCATTTGCCATGCACATATTTCACCAGTCAGTGCTTTGTTTTACAAAAGTTTTACTTATACCCTTATCACAAAATATGTAAGTTAATTGAAAAACTATTTGGATCGAGTCAGTGTTCAAAGATCAAGATTACATGTACAAGGTGGTTCCCAAAGAATGCTCATAAACGCTTTTCGAGTTCATCTCTTTTATGCGGTACATAATCAAACTTTTATACAACTTATTCGTAGAAACTGAATGCTTTACAATTTTATGAACAAATGCAGATTCGTTATAAATTGACTGCAACAGTTAGCTCTTCTAAAGATTGATAGAAGAACTACGATTTGTCTAGCTCCAATAAAAGGAAGTCATATCACCAGTTTCCTCAAATGGAGATGGAGAGTTGAGTTGAAGTAGCTTCCAGTGTCATTATGTAAGTAAAGAAAGAAAAAAATCAAGTTTTTCAGGATATAAAATTGAGAATGGAAGTGGGGAATGTGTCAAAGAGACAACAACCCGACCAAAGAGCAGAAAACAGCCGAAGGCCACCAATGGGTCTTCAACACTACAAGAAAATCCAGCACCCGGAGGCGGGCTTCAGCTGGTCCCTAAACAAAATTGTGTACTAGTTCAATGAAAATGGACGTCACACTTAAACTCCAAAACATATAAATGAACTAAAATTAAAAACATACAAGACTAACAAAGGCCAGAGGCTCCTGACTTGGGACAGGCGCAAAAATGCGGCGGGGTTAAACATGTTTTGTTAGATCTCCCCCTATACCCCTAGCTAATGTAGAATAAACAAACATCTACTTATATCTATAAACACACAGCAATACGCACAGTAAAGCTCAGTTTAAAAGAAGTCCAAGTCCGATGTAAGAATAGGTAACAAAAGAAACTAAGCAAAATGACAATGATACATAAATTAACAAAGGACTACTAGCAGTTACTGACATACCAGCTTCAGACCTCAATTAAACTGATTGGAAGAACATAACCCGTATCATGCCAACAACTGGTTTTAGAATAAATGTGTTTATTTCCGATGCAAAGACCCTATGAGTGAATCAATATAAATACCAAAATATGCCATCTTTAGTGACCTGACAACAGTATCGTAACTATATCCCTCTGAATAAGTCTGTTTAAAGTTTGGTTAGCTTTTGAGGTGAATGTCGACATTTTTGTGCTTTGTATAGAATATTACCATAAAAGATTGGATGTTAAATACCTGAACGTATGAGATGTCTGGATGTTGATTTATATTTACGAAGAGTTAGAACATATATATTCGCATTCTGACTTTTTAAATGCCCATTTAATTAGGTGTGTGATTTATTTTCTTAATAAGATTATGAGGCAAAGTGGTACATAGGGTAGAAAAATCAAACTTTGTACAGATTCGAAATCACCAATATAAGCATGCAATTTATCAAGTACTTCCAACGAATTTTTAACACTCCAAAAGTAATTAATTCCACTATTTTCAAAGGCCTTATTTGAACAATGTATTACCAGGTTTTTGATTGTACCAAGTGCACTAGTAAGTAGAATAGACAGTTTTGTTGCGGAACAATGGCTTGAAGACGAAATAAATCTATATTTGTAAGGTGTTTTGTGCAGCTTCGGAAGCCAGTACATAGTTGGAACTTTCAATTTATTTGGTTCTGCTTGTATAGAAGTAGCTAAAAGTTTATGTTTGTTACAGATGTCATTTTCCGAAAATGGAGTCAGTTTGAATGTTGGTGAATTGGTGATTTCCTTTTGTAAAACCTAAATGTAAAATTTACGTCAAACAATAATGATATTATTAGCAGCCTTATCAGCCGGGACAAAACAAATTCCTTGGCGAGTTCTTTAAGCTTATGTTTGATACGAGAAATAGGGCTATTATGGTTGTTGTTAGGAGTAAAATGTTCTTTAAAATGTTTAATACTAATATCAACTATGCTCATTACTGAATTAAAAAAAAATCTAAGGATTTTTTGTCAGCTTTTTCTCGTTTTAATCATTTCGAGCAGTAAGTACGGAGTGAGTCGTGGATGATGTTACGACACTCATTCCAATTACAAAAAAAATATATGCAATAATTGACTGGGGACGGTATTTAGGTCCTTTACTGAGGAATGATTTCAACTTTCGGTCATGAACGATGTTAAGGGCCATAAATGTATTCGGAATTCCTGCAATTTCATGACGTAGGTGTATTGTCACTGATCATCTTTACAAACTTCGCCATAATTTATAATGTCTTTGTTCTCATTCTAAGATTGTTAACTGCTTAGAATATTGACTGACAAAGTTGTAGTTAATATATAGTAACATATCAGTAAGCTCAGACGGTAATATTTATGTCTTTTTTTTTCTCGTTAACCAAAGTACAAGGGTAAAGGGAGAAGGTAGATTGATCGATGTAAACGAGATTCCCATGTCAGTAATGAGGACGCCGAAGATAACACAAATACCCAAATAATATCAATATCAACTAAGCATCTAAACGCATGAAATATTTAAAGGACTTTCGCTACACTTTTTCAAAATAACAAGTTTTTTAGAAGACTTTTATAAATTGATAGTATTTCAATAGTGGAACTAAAATTGCAGAAAAAAACGAAGGGTCCGTGACCTTGTTTCGAGATATAATTAAGCCACTGAAAATTTGACGGGAAATGATTCTCTTTAGATTTATCATACATTTAGCATTGACACCTTTTTCCTTTCAAAGACTGTGAAAAAATAACAAGGATTTTACAAGATTTTCAAATATGGCTTTTTAAACTACATGTAATAAAATTATGAAAAGAAAAGTAGAGGTAAGCGGGCAATTTTTTTTAATGGCACTACATGGATAAAACCAGAGGATTCCGAATATCTGACAAAAATTTTAAAAAAACTACAGAGGAGCGAACATCCTTAAAACGGTGAATATCGTATAGACAAGTTTCATCTTTTGAGAGCAGACCGGACTGTTAACGACAACGTTTTGGTTTATGTCC